TGGTCTGAGCTGCAGGCTTTGGTGCTGCAGAAACTGTTTCAACAACAAGCAACTATACTTCTATTCTGCTCTATCATGTCATGCACTGACAGAGCAAAACAGAAATTGGAAATGCAGGGAGGAGCGAGAGGTGCAATGGTGAACACAGAACATCTAGCTGCTATGTTTGGCTTGTCTCTGCCATTCTCTGTATATAAAGTTGATTTAAAATATGTAGAATGCACAAAGTTATACTGCAGTGTGTTTTATTTTTCTCTGTTGAAGTTGGAAGGTACCAATAGCAGCAATATAGGTGGACTGATTGATGACAGCAGGAATTCTGTTTGGTTACACTGACTGAAAGAAAAGCTTGGCAATGAGAGCATAAGAAACTCTTTTAAGATGTCTTTATGCTCTGCTTGCATGCTTAAGCAGAGCTTAGACCAGTGCCCTAGGCCATCCTGTTAACTTCGCAGCACTAATGCTCTGTGAGAAGTAACTAGTATTAACACAGAAGAGTCCAAGGAGGGCTGGGGACTGTGTTAAGGAAGATGACAAAAGCATGGTGGGTTGGCTTGGTTGCTGTGCTGACTTTTTTGTGTTGTTTTGTGTTCTTGTTCCCATCAGGATGTACCCACTAAATTGGTGGCCAAAGCTGTTCCTTTGCCTATGACAGTCCGTGGGCACTGGTTCTTGAGCCCAAGAACAGAATATACAGTAGCAGTGCAGACTGCGTCAAAGCAAGTTGATGGCGATTATGTTGTCTCTGAGTGGAGTGAAATCATTGAGTTTTGCACAGCAGGTAATGTTGCTGAGAAAACATACACCATAGGACATATTCAATTAAGGCTAGCTTTGCTGCATGAATGGATTAGCCATCTACCAGTAGGACGTAGCTTGGTGGGCTTATAATATTTGCACTTGGAAACTGTGAATGCTTGCTTTTAGGCTCTGCATGCAGTCAGGTTTGGTGTATTAATGAGAAAAAGGAGGAAGCTGCAGTGCCCCTTTGTTCTACAATAGCTTAGGTGCATTGAAGTGCTCTACCTGGTACCACTGCTTCTCCCAAACTAGGCAAGGAGACTGGTGAACCAAGTGGAGCAGGGTCATTTGTGTGCCTCTCACTGGCTACAAGCCCTTTTGGAGAAAAGACAGTGGCAGCTTGCTAACAGGCATACCTTCAGTCTGTTGTTGATCTATATGTGTCTTCTGTTGGATAATGGTCACCCAATACAAACATGTCTGCCTGCATGAAAGTTGAGAGCTGACACACGCTCTCTGTGAAGTTATGTTGCTGAGATGCAGCTGAGGCTGGATCCTAAGCAATCTTTCTTTAGTTAAATTACTACTAATTGGTTCACAACTATGTACACTGCAGGAAACAGATCATCAAACAGTTCTGTTAGAAATCAGGGTGATTCTCAGCTCTTCTGCATTTCCCAGATATATATTAACTCTAACACAGTTAATCCCCAGATTAAAATGACTAGAGGCTTGCAAGGTATTCATAGGGAGGATCAAGTGTGCATGCTCCTGCCATTTGTCTCTTGCTGCTGCTGGAAAATGGTGCTGGACTTAATAGTTATCTATAACTGCTACGTGATGTATGTTGCTAATGCTCGATTCCCAATTATGTCTGTAGTTTTTGGAGAGCATTGTGGTTTTTTTTTTCCTCTCTCATACTAGCAGATTGTCTTTTCTTCTTAGATTATTCAAAAGTTCACTTAACACAGCTTTTGGAAAAAGCTGAAGTGATTGCAGGCCGTATGCTTAAACTGTCTGTATTTTATCGGAATCAGCACAAAGAATACTTCGATTATATCAGGTAAGAATGTAAACATATGCAAAATTGTTTGGCAAATTAAAGTAGTAATGAAAATTTGTAAATGGAAGCAGCTGTGCTAAAGCTGGAGCAAAATGTGCGCCTGTTCAGAGGGAAAAATAAAAGGTAACTCATTTCTTCCACCCTGCCTGGCTCAGCACTTAAATTAGGAAATAAAAGTTTGTGGTTTAGAGCAGAAACTTAAGTATTCACAGAGTCTCCACCCTTGCTGAAGTCCCTGTGTTTTCATAGCAAAGTGTTTAAAAACCAAGTTCTGCTCCTTTATTAAGAAATTCAGGGTGAGCTGTGTAATAGTAGAAATTGTATGTATAGTTAGATATGAACTCCTATGTGTACACAAACATCTATCTCTCACGTATTTGCACTCTGCATACATTTTTATGCACAGATGGAGTAAATGGGGTTCTGAAATAACCAGACCATAATTTATAGATCATGCTTACTTGGGAAGGAGGGCTGTTTAGACAATTTCAAAATACTGTTGTTCAGTTGGAATGAAGAAAGGGGATAGCTGGAGATAGGTTCCTTATTCCTGCATGGAGACCCAGTGTGATTTTGCATGCACAAGCAGAAGCATCATTACAGTAGAAAATACTTTTCAATGGAAGGAGTCAAAGCTCGTGTACTGGCTGAGCAGGAACAGCCACCACACAGCAGTAATCTGCTGTTAGAAGAATATGGATGAAAGGTAAGCAATGTGACGATCTCTGTTTCAGCACTGATGATGATAAGAGACCTGGGGCTGCTTTTGTGCCACATATTTCCAGCTGTGTGTGTGTGTGTGTGTGTCATAGTGTACAGAACTAAAATACCCAATATGTCCACCTTGAAAGTGCAGACTACACCAGCCATGGTAATGTTCCAGATTTGTAGTCATTAGTATGAAGGGGACTCCAGGATTGTCTCATATATTGAAGAGCATGAAGTTCACTCCTAGGAATTACTTTGTTGCACGTAGTGATAGAGGAAAGACAGAATTTGTTCTCCTTCTATTAGTGAGCTAGAGACAAGAGGCTGACTTTTGCTAGGTCAATATGAAGCTAGGATACCTGTAACTCCAACAACAGTCTTTGATCAGAAATATACTAGGCCAGACCTTCTGAATGTTATGTTATAAATCCTAACCAAATGATTGTCGCACCATTTCTTCCAATGGCCTCTGGTTTCATAACTATAAAACAAGATTGAAAAAACTTATAGAGTAGCACAAGCAGTAGCAATAGCTAACAAACAACTGTCACTATGCTAAAGCAGAAACCCCTAAGTGTAGGGTTGTTTTTTGTTGTTGTTATTGTTTTTTTGATGTATCATGTTGCTGCTGTTTCCTTGAGCTGGAAGCACAACAAAGCATTTCAGATCCCTGAGATGAGTGACCTATAAATAGCGTAACTGGCCACTGGATGTCAGTATATTGCCACAGAAATGAAACTGCAAGCCTTTTCCTGAGGTTGCAGAGATGGTGATTATTCAAGCTGATTGTTTATTTCCCTTTTGCATTCATTTCAGTTGCAATATACCAATTGTACCCCACTCCCCTCGCACTCTCCACACCCACAAAGAACTCCACAACCACCACTGTCTTGTGAAATAGGGCTTGAGACAGTAATTATTGAAATGGCTGAGAAAGTCTTTGAAATCTGAGTCAAATTAAGATATGCTTCTGAGGAAGTTAGAAACAACAATGACAAAATCAGACTTGGAGGCATTTCTGTGTGGATTAGGAGTTTTCTTACGTTGTTATGAACAAATCAGCTGATTAGAGATATCAGTGCTTTGGAGGCTTTTATGTTTGTGCTATTCTTTGCACTGACCTAACAGCCACAGCTCTCAGCTGACAGAGAATGCAGACTGGAAAAGAAGGGCTTTTTTCTCCTTGAGCAGGATTTACTCCACCTGAGTGAATCTGGCTTCACTTGATTTTCTTGGTCCTAAGATCATGACACTAACCAGAGTTCTCAGAGTTCTAATGATTTTCCTTTGTGTTCCTTCAGTAATGTTGCAAAACAGAGTGAAGTAAATGAGTCCTAACTTACCATTCTTGTAGTGTTACAAAGTAAACAATACCCGTCATCCATTTGTAGAGAGCACCATGGGAATGCTATGCAGCCTTCTGTTAAGGATAACAGTGGCAGCCATGGCTCTCCAATCAGTGGGAAGTTGGAAGGCATCTTCTTTAGCTGCAACACTGAGTTTAACACTGGGAAACCACCCCAAGATTCACCTTATGGAAGATACAGGTTTGAGATTGCAGCTGAAAAACTCTTCAACCCAAATACTAACTTGTATTTTGGAGACTTCTACTGCATGTACACAGCTTACCACTACGTCATTCTTGTTATTGCCCCTGTCGGATCACCAGGAGATGAATTCTGTAAGCAGCGCCTTCCTCAGCTAAATATAAAAGATAATAAATTTCTGACCTGTGATGAAGAAGATGGAGTAATGGTTTACCATCATGCCCAGGATGTTATTCTGGAAGTAATTTACACTGATCCTGTGGATCTCTCCCTCGGCACAGTTGCAGAAATTACTGGTCACCAACTAATGAGCTTGTCTACTGCAAATGCAAAGAAAGATCCCAGCTGCAAGACCTGCAATATCAGTGTTGGACGTTAAAACTTCCCTTGATCCTTAGGAGCCTTCAAGCCTCTGTTGTCCATTTCCATAGTCAGCTGGTTTTGTCAGAAGCATGCACATGCCGCTGTCACCAAGAGCAAACATGAATCTCCAAACTCTCCAACTAGCCTTTTTAGTATTTCTTCTCCCTCTCTTTCCCTTCTGTTCCTCCAATGCTTTAAATGATTAGAAGTCCTGGATTATTTTTTTTCTCTGGCAACCATTTATACTTAGATGCTGCAAAAATTGTTTTCTGTTTCTTGCCAAACATAACAAAATCCTATATAAACTGCTTTAGCAAAATAAAAATAACGGCTTATAAATGGTGTTTAAATATGCATTCATTTTAACTACTGAACAAATACTGGATAACTCCAAACAGCATGAAAGGTTGTAATTGCAGCATGATTTAAATTTCAAAGCCTAGAAATGTCAGCACTTCCAACGTGTTGTTTGACAGTGTTATTTATGTTATTTATATTAGCTAACTGAAAACAGAAACTGTGTCTTGACATAATAAATATAATAGAAAAATATTTTATTTGTACCGTTGTATAAAATATTATACAATCATATAGAATATATAGATTACGTTTTAATATCAATTGTATACATATGTCATGAAATCATTTTCCCTTATCAAAGATGTAGTTTGTAAACTTCAAATAGTTCTGTATCTGTTCCTGTTGCTCTAGATGACTTTAATTAAAATAGATTTATGAAGGAGACCATTCTGATTCATAAAATTTGAATTACAAATTATTAAATTGGTACACTGAAACAACAAACCTCTGAGAAATAAAAACGTCCTTTTATAGTCATCATACTTTTTCCTTAAAGCTACTTGAAAATGTGTACGTCTTCAAAAACATGCCCCATCATCACATACAATATAAATACAAACGTGGTTGGTACACAATAGGCTTTATAAAATGAAAATTTTCTTACCAAGATAGATAGAAAACAGGTTCCTTTTACTATGAGGCCAATACAAAATGATAGTTAAACCAAAACACAAAACACATTTCAACTTACGCACATCCCTTTTTTTCTTCTCTCATTCTTCCTTTATGTCTGGGCTAAGTATTTCCCAGAATCCCTGCTTTTTATTTCTAGTACAAAAATGCTGATAATCCCATCTGTTAACAATTCACACTGATGACTTATCACAAATAGAGGGACAATTTCCTTAATATTACAAAGTCTGGTGCTCTGAAATTTAAGATGTATAATTTGAATGGAAAAATATCTTCTTCATAATCTTTTTTATAGTAAACAAGAAGTCTAGTGTTCCTCATCAGATAACTGTGACACTCAGTTATATACCAGGGACTTTATCTATCCAAAATATCTTAGCATAATGCAGTACTCTAGTCTTTATATATATGTGGCAATTTAAATAACACAGGAAATAAATAACTTGACATTGTACAAAGTGCATGCTTCTAAACAAGCTTTGGTAATCAGAAAAGCAAACATTATAGCATCAGGCAAAATAAAGTGCAGAAATTCAGTATGGAAATAAAATTTAGCATATGGTTGGTCTATTTCCCGAATTTTATGTACCATAAACCAGGTCCTGTGAACCATAATGAAAAGGATGTCATTCAGTACGTTTGCTAAATCTCCTCCTGATAAACGTTACCTGTTTCGTTTTGCTTCTCTTATTTCTGAAATACACTAATTCCATTTGGCAGTCATGCCTTCTTCCTCTAAATCCTGTCAAAGTTTTTTCCTTGAATGTACTGGAATTAAGTGGCAACTCTGTCTTGAAAGACAGAGTTTGTTGTTTTAAACTTACTTACTTGTGTTTCTTTTAATCTAGTGAACCACACGTTGAGAACTAATAGTTATAGTTTTATTTATACTGCATGTTAGTTCTGTTTAAAAAAAAAATAGAAGTATGTGGTACGTTAGTGTATTCTAAGATGTACTAATAACCTGGAGACATCTCCTCACACTTTTAAAACCTAGGAACAAGTCAAACAGAGAGTCAACAATACTTCAGTGTCCTTTTAATTTCTAACATTCTCACAGTGCACTTCAAGGCTTTAAAGGGAAAAAATATATATATATTCTATATATAGTTCACTCATCCATTCTTAATATTCTCATATATTGCTGTCCTCCCTCATCCCCGCTTTTAGAATTGTTAAAGTGCATCAAAAGATCTCAGCGTGTCAAATAATTGTGCAGCTGACCAAGACCTCTAAAACTACCACTTTGTTTTTCCATTATTGTTTGTTTGATTTGCTAGAGAATGATACCACTTCATTGTACTGATTTCAAATTGTTTTGGAAACATCATGCTTACTGATGAGAACTTCTATGAGCCTGATTTTGGCCTTTGTGTGTTTGTATTCTGAGTATTCCTCTGCCATTGGTACACGATCTTCCTTTAGAGGACTCCTATAAAAAGCAAGCAGAAGTACAATCACTTTTATGGATTAAAGGAGAAACAGTCTTTAAAATTAATTTTGCAATAACTAAAGATGCTGGAGTCACAAATACATATATTTTTTCCTAACAGTAGGCAACTAAAGATAACGTGACACAAATGAAAAGAAACCTAATATGAATGAAAGGAATTGGATTTTAAATATTAACAAATTTTTCATATACAGCAGGAAATTTTCTTTATCGTCAGCTATGCAAGTATAATTACTTAATTCTGAAATATGCAGAGAAGTTACTAGGCAGTACTTTGAAAAATGTTGCCAGCACATATCCCCTGCAGTTTTTAGCAAACAATTGCATTAAATGACAGAAGGAACATAAATACAGAGTGAAAAGTATCTAATATTTCTGCATGAAGGAAACTGTGGTTTCAGTTTTTATATCTGCCCTTTTAGATATGGTCAAACTGCTCCATTTAGTCTCTGAAGACTGACAACTTCAGAAAGACCATTAGCAAGATTCTTTGTGCCTCAGGAAAGATCCTGCAGTGAAACAAACACTGGACAGTTTATGCCCATTACAAGCATGTTCTGGGATGATCCCATATGTAGAAGGCAATCAGGGATGCCCACATCCCAGAGGAGCTTAGCAAGGGTCTGGTCATCTTCACAGAGACCAGGCACCTCCATGTTATCTTCATGTCTTGGGCTGCAGCTCCTTTGGCTTTTCCCACATAAGAGTACCTTATGGTACTCTTGGAAACAAATGCATCTACCTGGGTACCCAAAGAGGAAAAGGGGAAGGGCATTTGTCAAGTTGATTATTTACCTTCCTGTCTGCTTATAGAATTGTTCTTCAAACTCTCTTAAAGCTTTGCGAAGCCTTTTCTTGTCTGCTCTTGTTTCTCGGAGATGTTCAAGCAGAACAGGCCTGTAAAACAGAGACAAGACCACGAAACCCCCATGTGCCTTGACTGACTGTAAAAGCTGTGGTTTGGGGTAATAGGCAGGCCCTGCTGTGGGCCATGGCAGGTGTTCATCTCAGTGCCTCAAGGCATGACAACATATCCCACCAGGTATGGATATGCAGTTGTACAAGCATATGTGATTAAACAGGTATGTTCCTTCCTGTTTACTAGTGCTAGGTCTCCCTCTTCTAATAAAGGTAGAGACTGTGGACAAGATGGTAAGAAAAATCTTCAGGAGTAAAGCTTGTTACTGGCCTCAGTCCTGCATGGACGGGGCTCAGTGGCTCACCACAATCTCTTTATATTCATTCTCTCCCTGAATAAAGTCACACAGCCAAGACCTGCACTGAAAAGCAGCTGTTATTAAATATTGCTGTGATTCAGTGGAATCAGTGCTAATGGTACCTAGAATCAACTTTTTATTTTTTCTTAATTTTTTGAAGGACGTGTTTTAGTAGGCATTATTTGGACAATAAGGTTTTTTTTTAAGCGGAGTAATAGTTTTCTTAGTATGCTATATCCCTACTATTTTTTTTTTTTTTTTGTAAGAATACAGCATGAAGAAATATATCACAGCCTTTGAACACAGAATGCATAGTTGTGTTACATAGAAAAAGACTTTTTTTTTTTTTACTTTCCATTTTGGTAGTGCCTAGTAGGTTTCATATCTGCATCTCAGATACATCAGTGAAAACACAAGAAAAATATCCCATAAGCTTTGAGAATATACCTGTTCCCAGAAGGCATATTCTTCAATAGGTTTCAGGGCTGATTGATAACAGCCCATGTGTATCTAGAGACCTGCTGTCTCATGCAACCTGGAATTTTTAAATGCAAATCTTGTGATGTTTATGTTTTGTTTTTAATGGAAAGCAGGAGGGCACTGTTACCATTTCAGGGAATCCAGAAGCTAGTAAATACACTTCTGCAAGGGATAAAATTATTTTACACACACTGAATGGCCTTCTCGAGGCCACGTAACACATATTTCTTTCTCCTATCTAGTAGGTACGGGTCATGCATTTACAAATTGTGCTTCATTTATAAAGCCTATACAAAGCATTTTAAAATGTCTATGACAAAAAGACAGAACTCACATGGTTGCCTCATGTAAATTGGACATAGATAAGGCTGTTTGTCTTAAAGTTTTCTTTTCATTTGGAGGTGAGACATATGCAGGCTCACTCTCCTCCTGAGAGTAACACAGGTGCTCATCGACAGGGAGGCAAGATATTGGACCAGATGATAACTCACGGCTGCTTTGAGAATGGTCTTCATCTGAGTCTTCTTCTTCCTGCTTGTAAAATATAAAGCATGATCAAATCAGTCATTTACAGAACAATGTAACAATTATTAAGATGACAACTCACAGAATTAGGCTGTAATTTCCTGGATGCATTGACTAAAAGATCACAGATGTTGCAAATTCTACCCAGGTCTACTTGAAACTGTTCATGAACACACTCATGGGGCTTGATGGGCTACTGGGTACTGTTCATAATTCAACAGGAGAGAATCTAGACCTGTTTCTGAGTAGCTCCAAATATTAATTTTCTGTTTACTCAAAAGCATTTGCAAGTTGAGAAGATTTAGAGAACATTCTGCATTTATGCAAGCAATGCTGGAACTTGTACTCCTCTTATTTACTATTTAATGTGTTTATTATACCTGGAAATTATGACTGTAATATGCACTGCAGATAGGTAGAGATTTTACATATGTTTTATAGCTACAAATGTGAACTACCAAAACACAGTGATGTTGCTGTCTTCCCCACATTCCTTCATCCTCAAAAGAAAAGCTGGGCTTTTAAATTGAATGCTTAAACATGAAATTCTGTGGAGCAAAACTAGACACAACACAAGAGACCTTTCAGTTAATTTTGAAATTAAATATCTGTGAGCACATGTACAGAGATTTCAACTGGGATTTTCAAAGAAATCTAAAGCTCTATTAACATCTATCAAGATAATAGTTTGTAATTTTTTTTAATCGACCCAGCCAACTTCAAAATAGCCAGCCTCCACTATCTCTCCTCAGAGGGAAACCGGCTATCACATGACTTCTACGCATTATTAAATTATTACAAATGATATTTATGTGCTGTATGTTTAATACAAGCCTTGGCAATAAATAGAGATATCTACATCAGGATAGCACTTCATTTTCATTTTATGTAGGTTACATCAGCTGCAGTAGGAAACTCAGGCTGGGCTTCTGATTGTTCTCTCGTAATCCCAGCCCAGCATACTCAACTTTTGATAGTGATACAAAATAATACTTGTTAAATGGCCTATGATCTCTTGCCCAGTGGTTGAAATCAACTACATAAGGAACCATTACCTTGTATTATTGACCTCTGGAACGGTTGGAAGTTGAATTTTACAGTTTATTTCATGTAACTGAAATATTAACACCCTGTTTTAACTAATGAGCAGATTATTCAAATAGCATTAGTTTTACAAACACATTTAGCGTGTTATCTTGACAACGGCTATGAATTCTTTCCAACTTACAATTGTGGTGATCAATGATGGAGTTGCAAGAAGTTTCTTGATAATTCTGTATCTGTCATAAAGAGGTTTCATAAGACTCTTTTCTTGTTTAGTTACCTAAGGAAAAATCATAATAAAATATTATCATCCAAAATTAAAAATAAAGAATAAATACGTTTTTCATTTGCTCCTGTAAAGCTGAGAAAAGTGTTAGAAAAGTATGACCTGATGTTTATTTGCTTCTGAGGGCATTTCACAGGAACTGTACTGCAAGGCATAAAAACAATTTATAAAAGGAACTGGGGCATAAATTTGCATGCTAGGCTGGGCTTCTGATTGTTCCCTCGTAATCCCAGCCCAGCATACTCAACTTCTGATAATGATACAAAATAATACTTGTTAAATGGCATGGCATGTCATTGGTTGCTACGTCACACATCTGAAGCAGTGATTCTTGACGCTTCAACACTTAATGTACAAGCATTATGAAAAATCTCTTCTGCATTCACACAGCTCTTTGAGAACAGAGATGCATCTATTCTGTTGGCTAATTCACTGGAATATCTCTGCTTGCACACTCACTGTCTCTGCAGGTTGTCATCCCCCCGTCTTAAAACAGCAGGAACATGAGCTTCCCAAGACACTGGATCTTTCCTAGGCTCTGCCAGCTCTGAAATGGGCATGGAGCCTGTGCTTGACACTAAGCTTGGGCCTTGCTGGCCTCACTTTCCTGCTGTTCCTGGTGCCCAGGATCCACATAGAATCTTCAGCCCTTTCCTGCAGGAAACTGTTAATCTAAATACAAGTATTAAAATTTGCTTCTCTAAGATGCATGATAATCTAAGTAGGCAACATTTAAATGTGCAGACAGTCTGCAAACTGTTTGTCTATTTTTAGGAACAACAAAAGGTAAGAATCTTGTCTGCATTCCATTTCCCTGCTTTAAAATCCTGATTGTCTCTGAGTTTCCTGTGACCTGAAGTCAGAGCTGTTTGGCAGATCCAGGATTCCTTTAGCAGCACTGACTATCTCTTTCCTTATTCAGTTAGCATCTTCTTTCTCAGACTCTTAGAGCTACCTCTACCTTTGGAAGAAATATTCTCTCTAAATCACAAGCTACAAAGCATGCTCTATTTTTCTCAGTCTTTGCATCTTCAAATCTCTTTCACCTTTATAGCAATAGTAAGTCAATTTCTTTCTTGGTCTCCCTAGGAAAAGTCATTTAGTCAGATCCCTTTCTATATACACTCTCCCACTCCTACAGTGAAAATATTGAAACCATTTTAATATTTTAAGTAAGTAATGCTGTGAAAAAAAAAAAAAAAAGAAAAAAAAGATGACAGGTCATTTTTTTAAATTTCATCTCCAGTGGTCTCTATAAACCTTTTTCAGCTGATACATGTTCTAACTTTTCATGTATTGTGGTACAGCTACAGCTACAGTATGCATGAGCCAAGTCTGATGTGGATGTATATCCTCCATCTTTATCATCAAAATCTGCAACTTCCATTTATGAGGAAAAAGATAGTGCTGTGGGAAATTTGCCTTTTTACTTGATTTTTTTTTTAAATATAAAACAAATTCATAAAGCACTAAAATTTGTATATGAAGATTAGTTTGAAATGTTGATTACAGAAAATTAATCTAAATATGTTTAATTAATGAATCCAAAAATACTTGGTAGAGAACTTATATAATCTTCAATTTACTCATCTTCTCATGGTATATTTACAGGTCACCCATGAATACTCTCAAAATATGGCAGTTTTGAAGATTGATGTTTTCTAAAGCTTTTTTTTTTTTTTTTTTTTTTTTTTTGGTCATATTCTAGTTTTAAAAAGTTATTTGAAAGATTGTGAACCAGGATTTCATGACAAGGATACAGGTAGGTATTTGTTCAATCGTCTGTTCTCCCCAAATAAACATTAACAATGAATTCTGTTTCTGTCCACACTGACGTTGAATGGGACTTGGCAATGATTTAGCAAGAACAGAATGGAGCTTTATATGACTTAAGTCTTACATGGATCAGAAATGCATATTTCCCCACTCAAGGCCTAATGCAGAGCAGACGAAATCTATGAAGATAATGAGTAAAACTGTTTTTAGGTGAGAAATACAGTGTGCAATAGCATACTGCTGGCTCATATATGGCTTTTCGTCCGCAAGAACTCCCAAGTCCTTCTCCACAGGTCTGCTCTCACTGAGTTTTTCTCTCAGTCTGTACACATTATTTGGGATTTTTCCAACCCAATTGCAACATCTTGACATCAGTTGCCCTTCCTTTGTCCACCGATGTCATAACTTCATCACAGAAGGCCACCAGATTGGTCACACACAATCTGCCCTTGGTGAAGCCATGCTGGCTGTCACACATGTACTGTAACATCTCTTCCAGGAGGATCTCCTCCATGATCTTCCCAGGTATGGATGGACATGAGGCTTATCATCCTATAGTTTCCCATGTCTTCCTTTCTACCTTTTAAAAAATGGGTGTTATATTTCCCTTTTTCCCATCACCAGGGACATAACCTGACAACCATGGCTGCCATTGGCTGGCAAGAGATGACAAACAGGAAGTTTCAGCTATGCGAACACAACACATTAACAGAGTAGAATGACAGACTGACAATGTAATCTCTAAATGTCTAACCATTGTGATACAGTGATTAAAACACCCCAAAAGTTGAACATACTGGAAAACAGTGCTATTTTTAAAATGAAAGGGAACAATAAGCAGGAATTTGTAGTTGGATAGCATGCATCTGTAGAACTGCTATGGAAAAGCTGCAGAAAATGCAGCACTTTACTAACAAAGGGAGGAGACTTAGGCTACTTCCCCAGTCACACTCATTGCTCTGCTGCATTAAACACCCCTTCTCCTGCAAGTGCTGAATTCCTTCTGCAGTGATGTTTCACAAGTGACGTGTTTTATTTGCTCAAAAATCACAATATAAATCAGTGGTAGCAGAAAGAGAAATGTTGATTTCTCAACAATGTGATTTATCAGTGTTGGTGATGATGTACCACTATGCTTGTGTTCTGTACAGAGAGCACACTATTTAACTGCTGTTTTTTTTCCTTCCCTCCCTCTTCCCAAGAAAATCTGCTCCTAACATGTCTGTATTTTCATCTGGGTTGGAACAGGCAAGGAGCATGTGAAGCTAATGTGATTTTCCACTGTCTGCCAGATCACGACAGATCTCTACAATTAGGGTTAACTGCTGGAAGGTTTGGAGCAGAGCTCCTCCACTGCAATGAAGTAATGCAAAGAATGATGGAGTTGGGGTAGGGGGATGCCTTTCTGCAGGAGGTCAGTGACCAGGTTTTTAATTGACAAATCGGAGAAATAATAATTAGCCATTTCTTTTCAAAAATATATCAAATCCTGAAGAAGTAATGCTTTTTCCTGGCTATTAACTTTGCAGGAACATAAACTTTTTTGATTGTTATCTAAATGCAAAAACAGAGAAAAACCTCTTGTTCTTAAAGATCTGCATGAGCTAATCACTCTGAAATTATTTATCGTTCATATTAAAAGAAGAGCTGCTAAACTAGAATTCAGGAGTATTATAAAACAGCTAACTGTATTGCTTATTGCTATTTCTGCAATTAATACAAGATTCATTCTTTCAAAAACTATTAAGCCTGAAGCAGCTGAATGCTTAACAGGAAACAGAGAATGATCATTAATATTGATTTTACACATGAGAAACAATCTCAAGAGGGTTTAGCATTTGGGTTTATTTCATTAGCTCATTTCATTAGCAATCTCAAGACAGGTTTGCATTCAGCTGGGCTTAAAATGGCTGATAATTTCAAAATGAGAAAAGGCAAATTCCAGAATCGTCTTGGACATCTTCTGATTGTGAGCTGTGCGTAGCAGCATGAAATTCAGTGCTAACTATATAAAAATACTGCTTCATAGCTAATGAAAAGATAACAGAAAAAGGTCTATTATTTATTCAGGTTTTGTAGTTTGTCCTCTTTAGACATACAGGATGGTTTAGGATTCTAAACAACTGTGCCTCCCACCTTCCTCACATTTTATCTGCTATTTTATTAGGATGGTTGTTGTATACTTGATGAACAAAATAGAGCTCCAAATGACTTGATAAATTTGGACTAAAAATTAAAAAATCTGTGATTTATGAATCTTATTGTCAACAGTCAGTAAAATGTTTACCAAACCCAGTTTCACAAGTCACATTCAACTCTGCATCTTTTTTAAGGACACTCATTTCTGTTTTGGGGAGAACAAGGCAAACTTGTATGGAAACACTACCATTGACTACCATCGCCCCAAGCAGTTAAATCTTCAAAACAAAACAAAAGAACAACCTAAAAACATTTAAACATTTAGCTACTCTTTAGCTTACTATTAGTCCAGTTCACATTCTGGGAGAGAATCTAAATTCTATACACAAAATAAAATACTGCACTTCAAATTAACAACAGTAACACAAAAGTTGCACTAGCTTAAGTGAAGCTCTTGATCTTTTTTCTAACCAGCAGACATCCTTGATTCATTTTTACATAACCATTCCTGTAAATCTTTCTGTCTCAAAAGACCAGAATCACTCATAACCGAAAATCAAAAATTTTAATGTTAAGCATAAGGACCTAATGACAAATTATTTTGAACTAGCTCAATTTGACTTTCTATTATTCCTTTTCAAGCCTCTGTTCCCTATCAGCTTTGTATAAGTATTTTCAATCACCTTAACTAAAAAAGGATAGATCTTTCAGAAGGAAAGTAGTTGAGATATACAAATGAGTGTTTAAAAAAAAAAAAAAAAGGAGAGAAATATTAATTTGTGCAGACATTAAATTTTGATTACAGCTCTGCCATTGTACAGAATTAATCAAAAATGGAATGGGACCTGCAGCCAGTTTACTCTTGTACTCATAAGAGTTCTTCTTGATAGGTTTTCCTCACTGACATCTGTTTTGGTATCAGCTGATCTCTGCAGAACAATATTTTTTTTAACAACTAAAACTATTATCATGTAGTTTGTACTGTTGCGACTTAAGAGTACAAACAGGACTGCATGCTTTTGTTGTTCTTTTGTGTTTTCTTACAGGGGAGTTACGCTTGTGAAACCATTTTCCTTACATGTTTTCAAAAAGTAACCTATAAAAAGAAGGAATTAAAAAGTCAGCCATCCATGCAGAGCTCAAACTCTCAGCTACAGAAGTATGACATAGTTTTTGCACAGTAATTTTAATACAGTAACCAGTTGTTAAGAATCAAGAAAAGAAAACAAATCAAAAATTACCTCTGCTGGGTACTTTGTGCTATTGAAATCTATCCTAAACCATTTCTTAGTGTTACAGTATTCTAGCACAGTTTAGTGTTTTGTTCTTTCTCCCTTCTCTTAGGCTCTCTCCCTCTCTCCATCCTCCCCCTTTTTCCTTCAGCAGCCAGCATCCAGATGTTTCTGAATGCACTGAGATTTCAGGTATCTTTGGGAACAGAATTTGTCATCTTTCTTGGTTATATACAGCACCAAGTATAGCAACATCATTTGACAGCAGAAACAGGAAAATGAAATAAAGCAACACAAAATAAAATAAGCTCTTGTATGGACAGTATGTTCTGTGGAACAGCTTTATACAGATTCTAAAATGTGTCAGTAGCATGGATGTACAGAATTTTAGAATAGGTATTCATTTGAAAAAATAATCAAGTCCCCAGCTGCGCAAGTGCATTTCATGGGATATTAAATCTTCTTTTAGACTGAGAAAAGTAATCGAGAATGTAGAAGAGCAGAGGCAATACAAACACAAGTAAGCATATCAACATCAGAGGGCAAAGCAGCCTGTACAGTTGTGCTGCCCACATGACATTAATGCAGGGCTATCAACTGGACAGATGTTTTCAGCATTACTCAGGTGAAAGGGGATCTTTACTGTCAAAATAACTTAGCACTTGTTCCTAATTTCTCTGCTTCAGAAACATTTGGGAGAGATCCACCAAGCAGACCTGCAGGTTTATGGTCCACTATGAAGGGACCTTGTGGGTCCTGTGCAGGAACCAAAGCTAAGTCACCCTGTCTGCTATTAATGGCCTTTGTACATTTGAATTCTGCAATGGAAGACTAAGCAAAACACACTTTGTTACACCAGTGAGGACTGACTTAGTCACTGCTTCAGCCGATGGCCCAGGAGCCAGAAAAGCCTCCTAGTCTGTCCACAGGGAACACTTTGAGAGACTGAGATTGTGTGGGTGGTTTAATGGGGGAGAAGTCTTGGTCCCTCATTACAGCAAAGTTTCTGTGGACTCAAAATAGGATTACATTTGCTTTCATCATTTTTGATACACTGAAAGATGCTCTTCACATGCACATGACCTCAAGTAGGCAAGTCTGGCATATGATTTTTTACAACCATCTCTAAGCAAAAAGTGTTTGGCACTACTTGAAAAAAACTTCTTCACCTCATTGTCTGCGCAATTCTTCACAGAAAAATCACTTCGGAAAACTGCACTAGTGCAGTTAGAGAGAAAATGCCTTGCAGTGCCTGAGGGCACAGGTTGCATACCCATCCAGCAACTAATATCTGCTTCAGATGATGAAGTACTGTAAGAGACAACCGGATTTGTTAAATACCTTAATAGTCTCAGGAACATTGAAGTGTTGTCTTTTCTCCTTTAATTGTCTCAATACACTGTCCACGGTTTCTTCTGCTAAAGGAGCTGGTTCCATGCTTGTGGCCTCCTGTGTCCTAGTCTCTATGGGGGTCCCAGTACTTTCACTACTATCCTTTCTTTGGGATGCTCTGGAGGTACAGTTTTGCTCTTCAGACATTCTCAGTTTCAGCTCTGAAAGGTAAATTATTTGCTTGTAAATAGGTGAGAAATATTTGCTAACAGATTTCCTGTGATACTATAAGAAAAAAGCATCCTGACTTCCCACATGCAATTATTATAGTGCAGCTGTTTAGGACTTCTGGTGCAAGACCATGTGCAGGGTCTAGCATTTAATGGAGAACTTTCCAGAAGAAATTACTGAAAGATGAGTTTTTAATTCTTTACCACAATAAAACCTTCTCTATCCAAATGAGATGTAAAATATAACAATAGGATTTAATTATTAATGTGAGTCCATCTATGAAAAAGAATTTTTAGATAATTTATGAATAGCTTTAAGAAAATAAAAATTAATCAATCCTGGTTACATTCTCCCCAAAGGCAAGCACGTGATATACCCACAGATGTTCACAGAGCTGTATGTGGACAGTCAGGGCAAAATGTGACCCCCAAGACCAAATCAAATATCAGGGAAAGATCTCTTTCTACAGTCAAATAAATAAAGGCTTTAGAGATGCACAACCTCAGTCAGTACTATCACTAAGAAACTTTTAGCTTTGTAGTTTATTATTTGACATTAATTCTAGTTATATTAGACCAGCAAACACACACGCAGAAAATACTTCAAATAACATTGCCTTTTACATGAATGTTGGTATTTATGAAGGATGGTGTATGGGAACTGCTGAGTCACAGCCTGAACCTCTGATTAGTCACCTGAGGCGAGCAATGAATCAGCCCTGGGAGCACAGGTGAAAGCAATTCACCTGTGCTGCAGGAAGGGGTGGAGCCTGGCTCCACCTCTCCTAGACCCATTTAAGAGCTGACTACCAGTAGGGAAGGATTTCTTTTTCTCTTTCTGGAAGATCTAATCCACTGGAGTTTCCTGAGTGAGCCTATGATACAGGTAAGCCTCCTATTTATTCTCTTTGTCTCACTGTGCCTAACTGTCTTGTGTATTTCATTTTTATAACATCTTAATATCATTAAATTATATAATATTCCTTTATATAACTTTCATTGATTATACAGACGGATGATGTCTTTTACCCCTTCCCCTTTTTGCATTGTTATGAGTAGCAAATTGACTTTGATCCTTGCTGTCAGGAATCAAGGCAAGTCATGTCACCTAATATCTTTGTTGTCATTAGAAGACTTATTGTCATGCACTAGAGAAAAACAAGCAGAGCACCAAGAATGGAGAACTGATTGTAAAATATTCCAGGTACGCTCGTGCTGCTTTGAAATGCTTTAGCATTAAATTGAAATAACACACTATTATGTACCTTTGAGCTGCTTACGACCTTTAGCCAAATCGTTCATCCATTTTAGAACTTCAGGATTGGAAGTCTTGTCACCATGTGAGGGCTGAATATGAAGCACAAAGGAAGGAGGAAAAAAAGGAGGAATTGAGGATTAAACAGTAGAGAAAAAAATAAAAAGGCCTGAAGAGATAGAACCACTCATAGAATGCTACAGATGTCCACATTTCCAGCTATCATGTGCATATTTCCAGATACAGTGTCACACAGACCATTTGGCTTGATCTCAATACAAGCTTATTGTGGTTTATCTCTCCTCAAAGTGGCACAGTGCTATATGGGTCTGAGTGTTTTGGTTCTGATCCTAAAAAAAATTTAAATCCTTGACTAACTGGGTAAGTAATTTCAATTACTTCAAGAGGACTGATAAAATGCCTGATGTTTGTCACTTCCCTAAGGAGAAACCTGCTGCAGGATGTAGGATGCCAACTGACGCACTCTACCCTTGTAGGGATAAGCCTTACCTCCTTTACAACAATAATTCTTTTGGGAAACAGCACTTTAAATGTTTCAGCTGAACTGTTTAACTAGTTGGAAAAAAAATCCTATGCAACAGTTACAACAGTTCTTCCTTCACATTCAGAAATTGCAAATCAAATTAATAATTAAAAATAATTTACACTGAAACATTGAAATTCAGGTATTTTATGTTATAAAACTGTTTTGCAAAACAAAACCTTTGAAATAATTTCTTTGCTGCTCACAGCACGATGACTGTTAATGAAATTTTACATTATGGTACCTAATGACCATAGGATAGGACAATTCACTGACATACGTCTAGGTTTGCAGTCACTGATGAGATCACAAAGTAGTATTACGATTTGCTCAATTTTTAATTTTAGCACAGTCATAACACAAATTTCCCTGTTTCATACTGGACACGTCCTTAGCATTGTGATGTTTTGTGTTTACACTACCTTGTTCACATTAAACAAACTAGCTTGATAATGAGCAATGGTCTTGCATACACTGCGTAGTCTCCAGCGTCTCCCCATCAGCAACACATCACAATTGATATTTCTCTTATTTCTTCCATCAGCTTCTATAGAGCTCTATGTTTCGGAAGTTTAAAGGAATCTTTGTAAAAGAAGGCAGAATGATAACTTCCAAGCAAATGACTTAACCATGAAGTAAATAATTGGCTTTTCATCTTCTGAATCACTTTAATTCGTAAGCCTATCAGCTATGTTTAAGTGACTCATGCTTCTCACACATGTAGAAGATGCCTGTTTTGTAATAAAGGTAATACAAAGAAATCACAAATTAGTCTCAGAGCTACTGAATACACAGAAAGATGTTAAAATATATTCCTTCACTGATAATTTTCCCATTTTACCAAAAATACCTTTTGTCTTACTGTTGTGCGTAATTCCAAACACGCTGGGATTTCTCCCTGCCTTTTGCAGTATTTCCCTTTATCTACTCAGTGATTTTCTTACCAGGTATTTTTTTTCTTGCTCAAACTTTTCTTCATACTTCCTAATTTTTCTCTTGAGACTCTGAAGATGCTTGGTAAGTTGTGCTACTGTTTGGGGTTCTTTGCACTCTTCACAATTACATCTAGAAGAACTTCTTGGTCTGCAAAAGCCAAAAGCATAGTAGCTCTATAAAAATGGCCAAAATGCTCTGTGTCTTTTTTCAGACACACTTAACATTTTCTTAGCACATCAGAATCTACACATAGGTTCTTTCACAGGTTAGAGAGAGTTTAGTTTTATAAAGCTAGCATGAAATAATTGTTTTTCCTTGAGGGTACTCACACAATATGCTAATATGTTTTAAATACTACTTTCTCTAATTAATTTTTGAATTTTGGAATATTTTTCAAAAAATAGTTTGTAATTTTTTATAATTACAAGTCAACAGAATTGATTATTTACATGCAGTTGATGTTGTTTCTGACTGAAACTCATGTCTTGATTTCTGGAGGTCACATATTGCTCAGATATTCTATGACACTCATATCTAGTAAATTTTTGTACTTCAATAACCCTCTCTACTTTACATTCACTTAACAGAATCGCTACTTGACTAAATTTTATATCTGTCACTACTTAACTGTAATTAACAAAGACTTCAAACAATGTTACACTAAGTTATTTGCGAAAAATGCTAGATCCCATTTCTTATATTTCAAATTAACCATGCCAAAATACACTACAACATGAAATTTTCTTATTTATAACACAGGACTAACCGAGAGACCAAAAGAGTCAAAGATCATGCATTGTTAAAAATGAATTTAAAATACAGTTACATTTAAATATACTTTCTTACATCATGAAAGGTTGAGCGCTCGGTGGAGAAGGGGCAGATTCTGGGTCTAGATTAAATCTCTGGCTTTGGCTAAAGATAGAGCAGCGTGGCGACAAAAGAGGATTGTCTCCATCAGTAATGTGATACAGCAGTCGACTGGTTCCTAGGGAGCGATGTTCTTGTGGGCTGCTGTCCATGTCATTCTGCCAGCCTCTGTGGGCTGGTAAAGGCTCTAGAAAGAAAGACAGAACACTGTATTTGAAGGTCATTCGTTAGGTACAGCTACTTAGATAAACAGTAACCTGTGCATATAGAAGGATTAAAAGTGCAAGTACCCAAAGTAAACATAGCAAGTGTTTCAACAGAGTACCTTGAACATAATACTAAGAGTGAGAAAATACAAAGAATACAAAGGACACTTACTGGCTTAACATACAGTGTCTTTGAGGACCACAGGAAAAAGCGGGTGCTTTCTAACTATGAAGTATAATACAAAGATGGACAGTTTCCCAGAAGAGAAACATTAATTAGACTTTTATAAATATTTGTTTTTGAGAGTTCCCAAAGCAGAAGATAAATATACAGAACAAAACTTATGTTGTGATGTAGCATTTTTGTCCTTTGGTCAGTGGAAAGGCAGAACACAAATACTGTATTTCCTGATGCTAAGAACCTTGAATGTTGTTTGTAGTTTCCTAATTGCATTAGGTTTTGAGATTGCATGCATACAAGTCTAAAGAACACTACACACGAAAACAAAAATAATAAGCAATCACATTCACAGTAGTTACTCAAATTAATATGCAGTAACTGCTCCTTGGAAGAGTCACACTCACAGTACTATGTTAATACTGTCTTTGACTGTAAATGGAAACCACCTCAGCTGCCTCAAGAGATAAACTTTGTTTTTTAAAAATGATTAAGCTAGAAATCAGAATAATTTATTCTGTTCTGAGAACTTAGGAACTGCTGAACCATATCAAATTGATTGTGTTCATGAGTAACATGGAAAATGATGGGCACGTTATGGAGCCTATTTCTATGGAATGCCAAGTGTTCATCTTCCCTTGCATGTTCCTGGGGAGAACCACTGAATCATCTTCCTCACCTTCAGTGGGTGAAATGGGTGAAGATAATCCGGCCTAGTTGATATTTTCACTATCAGATGACTGTGCTTGAAAACAGATTATGCTTCTAGTGAGAAACCCCACATTTTCTTAAGTTCTCCTCCAAAAACAATAAGTGTGTGTTAAAGCAAAGAATGTGTGTTCTTTCCCAGATTTCTCTGTGTTAATCTCCACAGTACCTATCACTTTGTTTCAGCCAAGTTATTTTATCCTATAAAGCCATGTATACATACATTGTATGTGCCTTTGAATGCACATCATTTGCTATTTTCAGGCAGCATGCATGCCATTTCAAGTCAGTATCATGTCTGCAATATAACATGCATTCTAATATATTTTGCAGAATCCTTTTAGACTTTTATTTAATAAAAGTGCACAGAAAAAAAAAAGAAAAGAAAAAAACCAACTGTACGTGATTTTTTTCCCCATGAAAGCTAGCAGATCTAGGAAAGTTCTTTAACCTTCACTTTCTTTGCATTTTCACCCATTTACATAGGACACGATACTCCTACAGAGAGTAGGTATGTCCTTCAGGATTTCAATGGAACCTTTGTAATACACTTTATTTCACCTCTGCCCAATAGATTCTGGAGCTACAAATCTGTACTTCTGCACTAGGATGTTGGGGACACATTGGTTCTAAGTGGAACTCTTCATAAAAATCAATTGTTGATTTGAAAAGTAATAGAATAGCCTAAAATATAATTGTTTAAATTTAAATAGTTGGACAGTATCCAACTGTTTTTGCTTTGGTGACAACAAAAGTCTAACTGTATACTGCATAATCACAGTTTAGTCTATCATACAAAAGTTACATGTGACTTTTGTGTCTGTAAGTTCATTTACTTCAACAGCACCATCAATTATAATTACATTGAGCATTTTATCGCAGTAAGACAGTGTGGGTGATTATTAATTCTAACCTAGCATCTTTCCTCTAATTACTTCCTACTCTGTTGGTAAAATTCACCTCTTAAAGATTTGGGAGCAACTCCCAGAAGTTCTAAACGGAGTATGAGGTTTAAATCTTCCCAAAGAGAGATCCAGAAAGGCACCTGGGTGAAGCATAGATATGATATTGTACCAGCCAGAGGAAGTTATTTACACAGACAATGTACAGTCATAAAGACTGGAATAAAAGCTGTTCTGCAAACAAAAGTGCAGTTAGTTTCTGGCAATTAATCTTCTCTATTACACATTCTATGGCCACATGAAAGGTCTTAGACCCAACCGTATCATACACCAGATGCACTGAATTGCTGTGTACAGTTCAGAAGTCATGAAAGTCATGACTACTTATTCATTTACATGGCCAGCTTCACTTTTAATTATATTTAAGGCTGTTGTCCTGATTCAAGACCTGTGCAGATTCTAAACACGACACTGTTATTTTATGAGTAACATACATACTAACCCAGTGTCTACATGTGTCTGACCTAATTTCAGCCTCTATTTTTGCTCAAACTGGGAAACATAGCCACAGCTAGCCAAGCTCATATGTTGCCCCTTAGCATGCATCTGCTCTGTGTCATTTATTCAGTCCAGCTTGCCACGGGCAAGTGCTCACCAGAGGATTTAAAGCCAGTATCTAGTACCCTATAATAGGCAGTAAGCTTAATAATGTGGACTTCAATCATATAATACAGATTGTCTGATACATATATCTGTGTTTAATTTAAGTAAAATAATAATACATCATCTGTTATATATAAAAATAAATACTCTGATAGTACTAACACTCTAATTGAACACTCTAATGTGTTTCAATGTGTGTCAACATTTGTGACATATGTGAATGCAGCAGCTCTCTGCTCAAGTCACATGTATACTTATATCCAAGAACTGTAACTTACTTTCTACTTTTCTTTTTTTCCCATTAAAAAATCTTGCTTAGTAACCCCTTGCAATTCTTTATGGGCTTATTTTGCCAGCTCTAATTCAAGTTTTTCCATATCCAAATGGAAACTGCTGACTTGCCTCAACAAGATTTACCACTGATCCCTTAAAATTTGCACTGGGAGTAGCCTCTCTTTTTAACAAACTGCTGGGGCTTCATTCAACCACACATATAAATGCATATGTATATACTTTATAAAATACATTACACAAGCATATTTATATTAAAAATAATATATTTCTACATTGTACTTTTTTTTTTTTCTGTTGCCTGATTCGCTAAGCAAAGGCTAATAATTAGAATGATGGTGAATATGGTGCATCCCCTAAATAGTCTGCTTCTAGCCTAGGGCAAATCTCTGGACCTCCATCCAAATTCAACCTGAAAAAGCCAAGAGTCTCATGTGACACCTGTACCTAAACTGAATGAATCAGATTTCATTAGTAATTTAAGAGACAGAATTAAGACAAGCTCTGTCTATAAAAAATAGGAGCTCAATAAAGAAAATTTGACCCCCCACAGCACAGGTGTTAGCATGGAGAGTCCATTAAAATCCATTTAAATAAGTGAACTTTAACTGAAGCACAAGTTTGAACTGCCAGAGTGACAGAGCATGCTCTAGACTGCATGGCAGGAATGCTACATCATCCAATACTTGTGTGTGTATGCTTTATAATAATTTGGATTCTACTTATCATTTCATTTATTTTTCCAATACAAACATCAAACTCAAGTACATATTAATGCTATAATTTGTTCTCTTTTTAGGTATTTAACTTGCTGTTGTTTCTTGCTGAAAATTCTAAGCAAACAGCTTTAGAAGTAAGTTATTCTGAACCCAGCATTTATTCAGACATAAAATGTCAACTGCATAGCAATTACTTACCTATCTGCTTTAATTTGAACCATATATGGTCAACAATTTAAGTGCTTGTGTATTCGTGTCACTTGTCTGTGAGATGTATTAGTCATATTGCCTTTGACCTATTTTTCACGAACTGTGATTCCTCTCCTGAGCATCACGACTATCAACCCAGTGACTAGTAGCTATGAATTGACAAAAATAGTGCAGAGCCTTAGGGCTGTTTATTTGCAAGGACTGGTTTCATACTGAGGAACGAGAGAGAGGTAACACACCACAATTTGCCCAGATGAGTAATAATAGAGAATCATGAATGATTAAAATGCACATGCTGTAAAACTCACCTTCACTATCTCTCTGCTGATGCATTAAACTAAAATCAATAATAGGAGAAATGAAGTGATACTGGTCTGACAAAGAGAACGACAAAAATAGAATTACATGATATGGCAGATGATCTCACACAATACAGACATAGGAAACAAAAAGCATAAATTCATTTGAATAAATAACAGACAAACTAAAAAGAATCAGGATTCTTAAAATCTATTTGAAAAGTCAGATTCCCTTGCAGAAAGACAGAAGGCTATAGCCATTTATTTCTGCTCTTTTAACATGTATCACCCGTTTTTACATTAGCATTTGCATCAGGAAACGGTGCTTTGCATCAGCTCGGCACTGTTTCCCAGAGGACTGCAAATCTGAGATTAGACTGCAAGTCACAAGGCTGTTTTATAATTGCAAATGAGAGCACATCATGACACGATCCCTTACCTCCACTACTGGCCCCATCAGCTTGCACATTGGTTTGGACTGATGAAGGGGCTGGATCCTTGGGTGCCGGCAGCTGGGGAGTTTCCTCCTGGGTTGGCAGAAATGCAGAGCACAGATCGGTTTCGAGGGCTTGTAGCTTCAACAAAGAATTCTGCAGACAAAAGCAGAACATTTGGCTAGATAGAGAGCAACAGAATACAGCGATAGCTCTTCAACTCACTGAGCCCATTAGGAGCGCCTGCAAAGGGGTGTTCCACTAGCAGCTCTGAGGATGTACAAAAGAACAAACATGCACTATTCCATGAGTTTCTTCACTTCTGGTTATTTAAGTCCCAATTTAAATGGATTATTCATGACACGTGGGAAAGATGACATCGTCAGCAAAAGACAATTTATTCTAGGAAGCCAAACTGAGATGGTGTCCCTTTTTTCTTGGTCCTGAAGCAATACACTAAGTAAGTAATTCATTCATTGGGCTGACATCACGATCTGATGACATTATGTCCCTCCCAGTTTACCATTCATGAAAAAAAAGTCTCCCTCTTCAGCCTATTGTGCACTACACAGCAGTGAACAAAGAGTTACTGAGAACACGCTGCCTCATGGGATTCTTGGAAGAGATATTATTTAATTGGCTTTTTTAGAGATAGTTCCTTATGTAGACATCGCTTTTATGTACGTGGCTGCTGCTTCTGCAAGGCAACCAGATCATTTCCTATCTGCTGCAAAGGCAAAATTAACAGATTGTTGTCACTTACTGCAGACAAATCAATGGGGACAAGGCTAGTTACCTATAACATCACTCCCAGCTACACTGTCATGTTTGGTCCATTTCTCATTTTAATCTTCAATGCTGCATGCAATACTCAGCTGTACAATCTGACACAAGCATCTTGCTATGATGCAAATGCTGTAAAAGCCCTAATCACCATTCAGCTGGGTGAAGTGAGTCACTATTGATACTAAATGTATTCAGCTTCCCTTTCTCAAGGGAAATAGAACTTGCAGCATAAAACAAAAACACATACAGCTGTTTTAATAATCACACAGCTGATGCATTCAGAATATACATAACATGTTAAACTGCCCACATAGAACATACTTACAAAGAGCATTTTCTGAAAGAAATGAGTTACAATACAAAGAAATTCCTTGAGTTTATACCCTAAAAAGGTACTTTCCCTACTGCATCAAAGATCTGAAATTAATGTATTAATTTAATGAAATAGTGAATTTATTTATTAGAGTAGCTTAATTCATCTGCACATTACTATTTAATTTTAATAGAGCACTTTTATAAGTTCAAAGGTGGCAGTATTTTTGGCTAAAAAAAAAAAGGCAAGTGAATTTGACAGGGAACAGCAGGGAAGACTTTCAGCCTTGATTTTTTTGTTCCTTACATAGAATTCAGGCAGTGAAAAGGGAATAGAAAGTAGCTTTTTCAGAGATACCTCAAAATAGTTTTGAAAGAGCAAAAAGTGTATTTTCCCCATGAAAATAAGGATGCTGTCTTGAAGGGATACTCATAGTGCTGGTTTGTGAAGAGTCTTCACAACATATCAGGCCTCATTTTCTACCACCTCTCACCTCAGCTAAATACTGTGGTTGCAGAATCACAACATATGGACAGTGTTTTACAGTTATTATTTGATTTACGGGCCAGGGAGGACTCTGATCAAAGAATCATAAAATGGCTTGAATTAGAATGGACCTCAAGGATCATCAGCTTCCAACCCTCTGCCACAGGCAGGGTTGCCAGCCACTAGATCACATACTAGATTAGGTTGCCCAGGGCCCCATCCAACCCGGCCTTGAACACCTCCAGGGATGGGGCACCTACAACCTCTCTGGGCAGCCTGTTCCTTCACCTCACCACTCTCAGTAAAAAGCTTCCCCCTCACATCTAATCTAAATCTCTCTTCCTTTGGTTTGAAACCATTCCCCCTTCTCCTGATCCCCGCACAGATGTTATTGCAATGACTGTGTAGACAAGCACCATTCCAGAGTTTTCAAAGCAGTCTCTAAGTCTCCTGGTAAGAAGAATATAGGTGAACGACTGACAAAAAACTCTAATCTTCTTAGACTTTGGCATTTGAATGAAAAATCCCTGATCAAGAAAATATATTCATTTGAATTTCTTATTATACATTACTTGTTAAACACTTCCAATTTCAATAATTTCAGCAATGTAATTCACTTGCTAGTTTGCATTCTGTTACTTTCTGTGATATTTTTCACCCAGTTGTGGAAAGTGGGTGGACGGCAAATTTCCAGCCACTGCCAAATACTAAAAAAATTCATGTAATAATAATAGAAATACCTTCTGTAATTTCTTGAATGTGCCCTTGACAGAGATTTGATGTAGGAAGAAAATAAGTAACTAACTTATACCATTTTGATGTTACCAGGGAAATGATGAATCTGGAGTATGCCATCAACCTCATCTCACTTTTAAAACACAGCTGAGTACTATGGTACTAACAAAGCTCACCGTACAGGAAAAGCCACCAAACATTTGTGGGAACACACACAAAGAGACAGTTTTAAGCAGAGGCCAAGCAGAAAGCTACCTCGTGTCACAGACTCACAGGCAACAAGAGCATCCTACTAAATGGCAGGGACACCCCTGCTGCATGCCCTGCCTCTCTGGGGGCTGCCCAAAGCACCAGCGCAGCCAGAGTTGTCAGGTGGATTCCACCATCCTGGGCCCTCTTCCCCTGTAGCCAGAGCAAAGTGTCCCCACATCTACACCTGCAGCCCACGCAGGGCAAGAGGATGTTCTGCGAGAGGGCAGCAGGTCATGTACCCACCCTCGTGCTTGCAGGGGTCAGGCCAACTGCTGGCAGAACTCAGGTGAGAAAGGAGGAAAGTAAAAGTCCTGCACGGCACACACTCAGCAATACACCCAGTCTGGAGATAAACCAGCCCGTGTACATCCTATTTACAGACCTCTCATGTTCCAGCACCTGCCTTTGGAGCCCAGCTAAGCCATCTCTGCTCCTGACTGTTTTAAAAGTGTTACAGACCACGTTAGAAGCAAATATGGACAGCTACAAGATACAAAGAAAGAGGGAGGTGTTAGTTCATGGTAGGTACTATCATAACTTCTGGTAAATTCTCCCATGAACAACTAGTATCACTGAAGTAATTTATCACATAGTAGAGCAGCTAATTAACTCAGTTCAAATCCTTCCAATTTTATGCTCATTCCAATGTTATTCTGGTGCTTAACACTAGTATCACGTAATAATTCTTGATTCATGCTAATGTAAATAAGAGGGCATTAATATTTAGAATGGATCCTTATGTTTCCTTGGAAAAAAGATATATATGACTGCCTCTTAGGTGCAGTACTTTGCAAGTCTGAAAAAGAAGCAATTAGAATAGCCATTATTGTCGTCCCCTTGGAGTAACTGATAACTTGAGCTATACCAGTTTCACTAGAAGAAGAAATGAAATCCTGCATTTTTGCAAATCAAATATAATGGAAAAAATAAAGAACTTTACAAGTCCAAGGAAAACAGAAGAATGTGCAGTGTGGCATTTCTTTCCTGCTTGTAACTCCTGCCCCTGCTTTAAGAGAACAGTCATGAAGGTATCACACTCCTGGCTGCTGGAAAAAAAGAGAATACAAAAGGACAGCCATTGGCAGCAGAAGTTCAACCTGCAGTAAAGAAACCATATTTACAAACAAGTCAGCTTGTAGTCTGAGCCCACCCCTCCCAGCCATCTCTCTTTCCAGGGGATTGTTGAAAACCAGGAGCTGAGGCCTTGGGGCGAGGAGTTATAGAGATGACAGATAACTTCTTACATCTAAAGAAAAATAGTTCACATCTGTACTTGCACTGCTTTATCACCCTGGAGAACATGACACTGAATGAATAAATACTCCCAATCTATCACCAAAATGCTCTGGCAAGGAATGGAAGACCTCTGAAATAGTTTATGTATTTTTTTCAGTTGGTGTTATCAGTAACTGTCTCTCCAGCTGGAGGTCCCTGCGTGAGGCTGGGCAGCATCAAAGCCACATGCTGTAGGTCAGCATGCCCAGTGGCTGCAGCCCAGAAGGAGGCAACGTGCCCAATGGTGCCTCACGAATCTCCCTTTTTGCACCAAGGGCTGTGCACCACCGCACCTGCTTATCAGCCCACAGCATAGAGCAGAAGGATGTGATGGCTGATTGAGAGTCATTGCTGTTAGAAATACTTCTTTCCCTGAAAATGCATTACTATAATCAGCTTCCTTTGATCTCTGGGGAAGGAAAAAGCATAACATGTTTAGGAACTGAGGAAAGGGAAGGAGAATGTGTTTACCACTCACATAGATCCTGCCCAGGTCTCAGGGAGAAGCAAAGCCTATGCTTGGTCCTTTCTGTGCAAATTCAGCTGCTCAGCCATGCACAGTCTTTCTGACTGCTGAGGATGGTTGCACCCTGCCCCTGGGCCTGCCCCTGCCCCAAGACTGAAAGGCAGCTGTTGGATTATATACAGTTTGCTGATGGATTTACTGGATTTATGGCATCGGCTGGGGTAGAGAAGTAGAGCAAGCCAAGCTTTCAGTATTTAATAGCCTTTGGAGTGACTCATAGAGAGAAGAAACAGAGTAAATATCAGTCTGTTCAATTTCTTCACAGTGAGGAAATTAAAAGCAGCGCTGGAACAGTGACATACAAAAGCATCTCCCTTGCCTTTTAATCTGAGGGTTCAGGTTAAAACAAGATAGGCAAGATTTTACGTGAACATAAATAAATCCTTGGTATCTGCTAGGGCAATACTTGTACCTTGAGGCAAATGACATTTTCAATTCAAAACTTCCCTCATGGGTAACAAACAAGCAACAGTAAGATAGAACAAGATATACCCTGGGTCTGTATAATGTCGCCAGTGACTAGTGAGGAGAGACAGCGCTTTCTCTAATTCAAGAAGGGAATTTATTTTGTAATAATGCCTTTCCATTTAGGCTTGCAGGAGACCTGAGATATACAGCAATATAAGATTTTGCAAAGAAAGTTAGCACCACAGTGTGGCTGTGGCTCATTCCCCACAAATGATTTGCAACTCATTTTAATTTTTGAACTAATTATCTGTTTTAATATTTTTCTTTACTATTTTAGGGTTTTTTTAACTTTTTTTTTTTTTTATTTACTATAATATTTACCATGGAGTGATCCTTTGCAAGAATTTAAAATCTTGATATTTAAATCTTGTGTGAAGACAAGAGTGGACTCGATGATCTCTGTGGGTCCTGACTTGGGATTTTCTATGATTCTAGCTGTGGAAACTGGTGATATTTGCAGTGGAGCTTCTCAGAAGAAACGATAACAGTGATTTTTCCCAGAGCCTTAACTGGCTAGACCAGGGCTGAGAATTCTCCCTTACACTTGTCAGAGAAAGGGCCCTCCCAGTTATTATTGGGATTTTCAACAGTGAGCTGCACAGCAATGCAAAAGACACAAATGCAGAGGAAATAATTACAGCATTTTTTATCTGAATTCCTTTAAAAGGATGCAGGTAGTTTTCTCCTAATGAAATTCAGGCACATTACAGAAACAAAGCTGGTATTCTATGCTTTGGCAGCAGTAGATTTCCTTTTACACCCAATTCTTCCCCAGCACATCTGCCCCCATCTGCTTAAGATGTTGTCTTCTTAGGCTACACTTTAAAATATCATCTGGTCCTTGTTTACATCCCAGCACATTCACCGCTCTTGCAGAATTAAGCTTATATCTGCTAGTGTACAGCTACCCTGACTCATGGAAAATGCTTTATAATGTTTCCTACTTTGAGTAACTGCACAGCTTGCTTTTGGCCTCCACTGTACTGCTTTGACTGTGACAGCCTATCTCAGACTCATCCACTGTTTGACTTGGTCTCAGAAACAGCTTCTTTGTCTTCTACTCATGAGTGCTCCTGCCATAATCGCTGTGAAAACAGCTCTTGTTTCAAGCATCACAGGTGTTATTTGGCTTTCCGTGCTTCCTCTCTTCACTCCAACTCTCCCCTCCTACTCTCTGACAAAAGCACTTTTCAGACTACATTGTCCTGTTCATGGTTTATTTATGTAGGATGCAGCAACCTTTGAGACGTCCTTATTTTTAAACAAAACATAATTGATTTAAGCTGTAATATGAGGAAAAAAATCAAATCTTCTTGCAAGATGGCATTTCACTTAGTCAGTATTGAATGTTTAATTCTTTTCTGGTCACAAATAAAATATAGCGCAGTTTACTTAGTTTAAAAGTCTGACTTTAAAACCATTACAGCAGTCTCACATCACATTTTTGCACCTGTCCTCAAAAACATGGCTGAAATGATTCATTAAAAAGATAACCTAGAATTCTCATGTGATTGTATTATTCCAAGTGCTGAAAAAAATCTCATTTAATTCAAAATTTTAACACCATATTTCCATTTCTGGTCACACTTACCTCACTTGAGCTGCATAGTTGCTCAGTTGCTTCATTTTGTGAAATACATGTGTTTTGATCAATTCTACAAAACAAAACAAAACTTTTCTATCAATAGATTTCTTGTTTATGCAACAAATGTTCTAGGCTCTTCATCACATTTGTACATAAATTACAAGACAATGGAAAAATAACATTTCTATGAAACTTACTTCTGTATTTTATACCTCATGCAAAAAAATACCAGTGGTTTTACGGAATTCTGCAAAACCTATATTTAAACTGTGAATGAGAACCTGGAAACTATGTTGTTAAAGTGTAAGTTCACTGTGTTACATGGAGTCCATCAGCAGCACCATCGGTTCTTGGTGTCATGACAGTTAAAGCCAAAAAGAATTCAAACGTTTAAAACTAAGCACTATTTGTCTCACAGACTTTAAGAACAAGTATTTTCCTCCATCAGAGCCATAAAGAATAAGCCTTTCCATATTTAAACTTGATGACATTTTAGGCTCTCATCCTTCAGCTTTCTGCTTAAAATTATCTTTTGCAAATTTCACACAGACCTGTGGGACTCTCACAAGTAGATGGAAATCCTTTGAGCAAGAGAGATTTCCATGTTTTGTACTAAATGTCATTTAGCAGCCCCCAGTGGCGTCCATAGCTTTGCTTTTCCCTCAGCATATCACTGCTTCTCCATGTGGAAATAGAAAAGGAAGGTGCTGGACCAGCAAGGAGAAAACTTCTTTCCACTGACTGCTACTAGTGTGAGCACTGTGCCACATCCAGGCAGATGCAGCCGTAGCCTAAAAGGTTGGTGCCCATCAACTCTAGCTTTTATACAGCAGAAATGACAATATGAGACAGCAGAAGAGTTTTAAAACACTGTGAAGGAGCATGGTGGGATCTAAAGAACCAACTTATTTGGAAAGAGTGAAATATTATTTACAGTGTGGTTTAGTAACATGTAAGGAGCGACCTGCAAGGCTACAAAAAACATACTTAAAAGAGTGATTTATTACATTGAACTAGTGCTAGACACAAGGCAAAGGAATAAAAGGACACGTCAGCTTTGTGCTCTTCTGGTACCCATTTGGATGACTCTTTTCAGGGTAATACATAACATCCTTAACAAAAGAAGCAGTTCTTACAGGCACTATAGGATATTCTGCATAACTCACAGCTATGTCACTCATGAATCTTGCACTTCAGAGAGTAAAAACCACACTTCAGAGAGTAAAAATCACACAGCTCCCTTCCCTCTCTCATTCAGACTGATGTTCTCACCTACTTTTTTAGGGATGCAGACACGTTGCATTTTTCTATTCTGTTTCACTGAAAATACTAGAAGGAGATGTTTCCAGTTTTGTATTCATGGGATTCTGGAGATGCCAGATGTTTTCTGAAATCTTTGAAGCAAATAACCATTTTTGTCTGAAAATGATTTACACTACAGCCATATAAGTATGCTGAGCTGGTCCTACTGTATAGAGATCTGGGGTGTGCCTTTTCTGGTTTTCACTGGTCACAAGACCAAATGCACTAGGCAAATGCAGGTTATCTGAGTATTGTCAGGCAACAAGGGCTTACAGTTTAATAACTATGAGTTGGATCCTATGCTCATTAAAATTCAATCACAAAATATCCATTAACTTCAAAAGCGGCAGTAACAAAGTCCTAATTTTCCATCTGTGCTGAGAACACTAAATTTTTTTCAAACCTCAACCTGAATAATTGTAGGCGATTCATATTCCATATTACTGACATCACATAAAATAATGAAAATGCATTTCTCTCTACAGCTACTATTCATATATATGTAATACCATCCTTACTGAAATATAGAAAGCCTGATCTCACACTCCTCATGGAGTCTGGCAACTCTGGCTTTGGCAGAATTATCCTGCTCTGCTGTTGCACAGATGCAAAGATTGAATCCAATGACACATACATTTGAAGCTTGTGGACGTAAAAAAAAATAAAAAATAAAAAATAAAAAAATAAAAAGTTAATTATCATACCAGAGCTCCTAACAGACTTCAAGGGGCAGATGAATTTGCATGAGCAGTGAGCTGTTTGAAAAACAGACCAGAACATGTGAATTACTGAATTATGCATGATACTGATATTGCTTCTAAACTCACATAAAATTCAAATAAAACTACCTAGATTTAAAAACTAGGAAAAATATTTAAACATTACCCAAGCAAATTTAATTTTTATTTCCCAGATTAAAAGCAGGAAGGAGCATTACATTCTCTAATCTGCAAATCTCCACCCTTTATGCTCCTCCCAGTTCTCTCTCTTGGATCAGGACTAGATTCCTGTACATTTAAATCAGTCTAACCCTGAGTTATACTATCATTGTTCTCAGGAGTCCTATTTATTTATGCACTACAGTGCCACGTGCACATGGTGTCTTGGGCCAAGTATCACATTAGTGATACTACCAGTGATAATTCCTTGAAAGCAAACCACATCCCGTGCTGTGGAATGGATCTTCTTTTCCACAATCACTTCTGGTCTATCCTGGGCCAACACTCTTTTCCCACCTTCAGTCTTGCCATCAGTTTTACCCTGCCCGCTGTGAGGATGACCTACCAGGTGAAGAGCTCAGAAAAGGTAGTCTCCCTACCACATAAGAGATTGATTCAGCCCATCAACAGGTTACCCCAAAACCAACACATCTCAGAATCAGGGAAATAGAAACATCTTTTCTCAGAACCCCATGCTGTTCTGAGACAGCAAAAAGCACTATGAAATTCAAACATAGTCACCACCTTACTACAGGGCTGCAAGTAAACACATAAGAAGTTTGCCTACGAATTTTTAAAAAGCAAAGCAGAACTACAAGAGGCTTTTGCATTAACGCAGAGTGCATATTTGCAATATAAGAAACAACACCTTTAAGGGCCTAAGAGCGTTTGGACACATCCTATGCTGCTCTATGGGCTGTCTCCGAATGCTGGAGCAAGCAGATATACAGAGATTCAGTCGAGCAGAGTCTCTCTCAAACTGCAGCATTTTGGAAAAGGCTGGCTTTGGCTGACTGCCACAACTACTTTTCTTACATTATGAGTACCTCTCATGCTCACAAGGCATAGTCCTTACTTAGGCTACAGTGATATGTTGACATTTTTGCCCCTCTGCATCATCCACTCTACTCCTTTTTTCTTTTTTCTTTTTTTTTTGAGGGGAGGGGGAAGGGGAAAGGGGGCATATGACAGCTATAGATCTTACTCAGGAATTTTCCATTCCATGATATAAGAACTGTAATTGGAATTTTGAACACCAATATTTTAATATTAAGACTCCTGAAGAAACTGCTTTTAGGAACATAGGAAGAGATCCATCATCTTCCAGCAAAGCAGTGTTTCATCATCTAATCTTAATTTGCTGATACAAAAATATACACAGAAACATATTGGTCATGATCAATTTTTGTCAGATCAGAGGGATCTCGCCAGGTTCTTTCCTGGCTTGCCTGGTTATCTGCATGGGAATGCAGCCTCTCCAGCTCTGCCTCACCCATGTGGCTCCATCCTATGGCACAGGGATATCCGCATTTCTGCGCCTTCCCTGCTCCTTCCCACACATGCCAAAATTGTAGCTGTTCAGCCAAAAAAATGGAAATTATTTGAGTCCCCACTGAGCTGCACTCTCAGAAGCTACTTGCCTTGAGAACTTTGATACTGAGGGCATTGTTAGAGTTTGCTCTCCCATGGGGAAGGGAGCAAACAAACCCTGGGAAGCCGTGACTGTACCCCAGAGTTTTTATTTGTATCTCTGTAGTTTTTTTATCCACATTGAGACAAATTAAAATTGTCCTATTTTTGCCTGACTAGAACAGATTTCAAGACAAATCCTGTGCAATTCAGAGGTATTTAGATTTTAAACTGCAGTGAAACTTGTTGCAGGGATATATCAATCTGAAGAAATCAAAGTAAAGCAGAAGGAACAAATCTCACTAAAAATAGTCAACCTTTCTCCTTAATACAAGGCAGAAATAAATCCTTCTTCTCCTCTCCTCCTCACACATATGTGGTAGAGAAGCCTGCCCCATGGCACCCCTGCAGCAGTGTGGTCATCTCTTCTCTAAAAGAGCAGAAAGCTTTTGGTCTGTAAGTTATGGATCCTTCAAAGTTGCGGTGTTACAAAGGATTTTTAATTTTACCATTAACCTAGCAAAATCAGAGTAGAAGACAGTGAAACTCAAGTTTTGCAGGGCTAGCAGATGCTTTCTGTCAAAATCTAGCTGTGACCAAGCCTGAATGCTTAACCTTTGCCATGTTCCAGAGCAGGGAAAGCAGAAAACAAAGCACGACATACCTTGGCAGCTGTGTTTCACAGTCCATTGCACAAGCCAGTTCTGTGATTCCAATACAGGAGCCAGTGACTGTCAGTGATCTACACAAGCTGAGACAAGGGCACGCAGTGACAAGGCCCTATCAAAGCTTGTTAATGGTAAAGAACTGGGGAAGCTGTTGGTGGCTCTTCTGAGGAGTCACCAGCCAGAGTGAACTTCAGACTGAAAACAGTAACTGCAGCATATGTAATTCAAAGTCCTTCGCTCCATCCAGGTAGTGGGAAATTTTTTCCAAGGATGGCTAAGACAGTTAAAGTGAATACAATGTGTGCGTGAGACCAAGGACCACAAGTTAACATGCTTACTCCATGCTCAAAGTCCCTAATTTGGGAGTAAAGTCACTTCCATTTTGTGGTAACAATCAAAGTATGAGATGGCCAGACCTGAGATGCTATCACTACATTTTCACAACTCTTAGCACAATAAATCCAGGTGCCTCTATTTAACAGACATAGCACTTGTAAGCTACAGGCTTCCTAAGGAGCTACCCTGATGTTATACAGGAGTAAACAGCACAGTGAGCAATGGTTTCACATCCAAAAAACTAAGGTTGAACTTTCGAAGTGGACAGGGAAACTTTGCCATAGTTGCTGTTTTATTCACGCACGGTCTACTCTGATTTTTATGTTTAAAATCCACTTTTCTTTCATTACGTTTCTGTCATCGATTGAAATTAACTAGTGTTACATTTCATTACCTGTGCAGACACAGGGCTCCTACCAGCAGAGCTGCTAGCTATGTCTAACTCTCTGATAACCAAACTCACTGTTCTCTTCCTTAAAATAAATCAGTGTGATTTTTTTCCAAAATTAAGAATATCAGAGAAGTAGAAGGCAAGTTTCTTAGGCTGGGGCTAATTAGAAACATTTTCCAAGAAGCAGAACTTGCAGTGTCTCATTGGCAAATACAAGCATTGGATGGTGAAAGTAGTGGTTCATGAATGCTAATTAAATGCTTGGTCATTCTGCTGAAGTTTCCTCCGAGAGCACAAATTGATATCATTTACAATATTGCCTACTAAAAGCTGTTGTGAAGGCAACTATTTCCTTTCACATAAAGCACCAACATGCCATTGGATGGCAACTGTCACAACTAACCTAGCCCTGACTTGAAACAGACCTTGGAGGCAATGAACTCCATATGCCCACTACCTGTGTCCTGACCCACTGATCATCCCTATGATTGTACAGCTGCTGCTGACTCCAGCCAGAGTCCCTGTTACACTGCTGCCATTAGACAATTAGAGCACTACAGCTATCATGCACCTGTAGGCAGAAATAAAGATCAGAGCCCTGGCTTGTCTGTTTGAAACTCTGATGTAAACAGCAAATCAGTGCTGAACAGCAGCTGAGCATGTGAAATCCATAAAGCTGTGCCTCAAAAAAAGGGTAACTGTGAAGAGCACAATCTTGTTTACACAGTCCAAGCTTCTTAATAAGAGCAGAATCTTTTCCTTAGGACACACCTTTACTGGTAAGTTGGATCTGCTGGGTGAGTTGAAGCCCCATTTCTAGCCTTCTGCTTATCTATGGAGGCTTGGGAATGGAATTTTGACTACATGTAGCTGCCAGATGTGAGTTACTTCATGTTCTGCTGAATGTCTAGACTGAATGTCTCCCCTTGAGGGGGGCACCTTTACAGCATTGAAACAAGAGGAATGTAAACTATATGTAAATGTACGCCCATACCAAAATCAGGTATGTTGCTTCACATTTCCATTTCTCAGTGAGAAAACAGCTCTGAGAAAGTGAGGCAAGTCAGCACTGGGAAAAAACAGGAAAAAAAAAAAAAAAAGAGTTGAGATAATTTTGAAACTTGGCACAGAGGAACAGAAATTTCTGAAGCAAGGATGCTTGTAATATAGGGGATTTAAAGGTGGATGAAATTTGCATTCTTATCTTCATCCCTTTCATTTTCTCCAAACAGTTCTTGGCATATAAATACAGAATACAACTGCCAATGGGAGACAGGAGTCTGAATATCTTATATAGCAGGCAGCAAATGAATTAGCCTTTCCTACAGTTAATTAGAAGTGAAATGCATTCTCTTATCCCAAAGCTTACCTTGGCTGAAATCTCACAACAGCTTCCTGGCATCTAAAATCCACATTCCACGCACAGTCATTAGCTGAGGATCCTGCCTTCCCTTGCCGCTCTGAGAGGCCTGGCAATGAACTCTCCAGCTCCTGAAGGAAACAATAACAATATTCTATGTCCTGTCAGTACAGATCAAATGAAGCTGAATATTTTGCTTTAAGAAAGAAAGAGGTCCATGAAACTGGATTCTGATTTGTAGATCATTGTTATTTTTTGCTACTAATCTGGAAACAGTTGGAAAACATAGAAAGGTTTTAAATAAAGCAGCATCTTCATTCTCAGAAAAACACTTCTTGTAGCCAAAGCAGACAAGAAGCGATTGTAAGCCATTTGTTGTGTATTAGATAACAGACGTCAGAATGTGAGTTAAGAGGTGCTACACACAGTGGTCCATATTTTTTGTTTAAATATACATTTAAATTGATATTACTTACTCTTAGTGAAAGTCTGAGAAAAAAACTCATATCAGCCACATTGCCATACAGAAAATAAAAAAGTCCAACAAACTGAGGCCAGAACTAGAAATTAGAAAGATATGCCTTTTACTTCAAAATGCCAAATACCAATTATATAGGTATGCCAAGTTATTCAGCATGTCTTAATTCCCTTACCTATAAAATGGGTTATAATATCTCTTTTACATTGCCAACAGGTAAGTTAATGAAATTGTTTGAAAATTAAATTAGATTTGGTGTTTTTTTTTCTTTCTTCTTTATTAGTTTTTATCAGTCAATATGTTATTCTAATTGTTTCCAAACTGAAATACAGAGTGCTTTGCAAAAGAAAAGCATTCACTTCCTCTGTTAAAACATTTCTGATTTTGCTTCATTTTCAAAGCTTAGTTAGAAGCTTGAATGTCTGAACGTGGGTAGGACCACTTGGATGGGAACTTGGAGTCTGGGGTCATTCTACATCTGCAAAAACCATCATTGCTTTTTTATTATTATTATTATTATTTCTGTAGTCTGTTCCATCTTTAAATATTATGAATGAAGCTTGCTTAGAGATACGCTACTTAAATAAAAGTAAATTACACTTTTTTAAAACTGTAAATTTTATTAAAAGTTTTATAATTTAAAGAAGTTGCCTAAGCATTCTCCTCTCAGGAACTGCCTCTCAAAATTGAAGTTGGAGGACTAAAGGAATATGTAAAATGATCTGGTCGAAATTAATTAAAAAAACGATCACTGGCCTTTTACTTCCTCTTTGTGATGATATTTTAACTATACTATTACAATTTATTTTAGCCCATGTCCTCTTATAAACTACCAGGATATTTATTGAATTAGAGAACATTAATTTCTCCAACTTGGCCTATGAGATCTATAAAAATAACGTTGAAATCTATTTCCAGAAAGAGGCAGCAGTCACCATCACACTGTAAGGTACTTGAGAGGCAGCAAGTCATGTGCTACCTCTAAGATACATCATGTGTGTCCAGCCATGGGTTATGTCCATAGTGCATTTACAGAGGCATAAATATTCATGTTTAGATGTGCTTGGATTCAAAAGTTGATCACAACAGCTATTAATACCGATAAAAATAGAACTATGGGTACTATGGAAGCTTATCTTAACAATCTTTTTAACGTTAGGCTATTTAAGTTAATCTGTCAAAGAAATTCAGTCCGGTTAATGTGTAAAACCAAAAGTGCATTCAAGTGGAAAATTTGCTTCAGCAAAATACATCCTATATACTCATAAATTGAGAGCACCGTCTCAGGCTGGAGAGCTGGGTTGAAGCCAATGGAATGAGGTTCATCAAGACCAAATGCCGGGTCCTACACTTTGGCCACAACAACACCAGGCAGTGCTACAGGCTTGGGGAAGAGTTGCTGGAAGATGTGTAGAGGAAATGGACCTGGGGATACTGATTGATGCTTGGCTGAACCATGAGCCACCAGTGTGCCCAGGTGGCCAAGAAGGTCAAAAGGCATAAAGGCTTGTATCAGAAATAGTGCAGCCAGCAGGAGCAGAGAAGTGATCATACCTCAGCACTCAGCTCTGGTGAGGCTGCACCTCGAGTACTGTGTCCAGTTTTGGGCACCTCTCTGCAAGAAAGACATTGAGGCCCTGGAGTGTGTTCAAAAAAATGCTAGCAAATTTGGTGAGGGGTCTGGAGCACAGGCCTTATGAGGAGCAGCTGAAGGAGCTGGGTTTGTTTAGCCTGGAGAAGAGGAGGCTCAGGAGAGACTTTACTGCTCTCTATAACTACCTGAAGGGAGGTTGTAGCGAGCTGGGAGGTCAACCTCTTCTCTCGTGTAACTGGTGATAGGACTAGAGGGAATGGCTTCAAGCTGCACCAGGGGAGATTTAGGCTGGACGTTAGGAAATACTACTTCTCTGAAAGAGTGGTCAGGCACTGGAATGAGCTGCCCAGGGAGGTGGTGGAGTCACTGACCCTGGAAGTGTTCAAGGAAGGTTTGTTGAGGGACACAACGTTGTGTTGAGGGTAGAGAGAACTATTGGTGATGACTGAACTGGATGATCTTGTAGGTCTATTCCAACCTTGGTGATTCTATGATTCTATGATCATTGTGCACCAAAGATGAGTGGTAGGAGAAAACACCATTCCTTGCCATTTGTCCTCACACTTGATCCCCAAAGGATGTTCTGAATATATGCTTCTTTATATCTTGAAGCACAAAAATACCTATATAATTTGATATTCTATAGATCAATGCTGCAGATCTAATAAAAAAAAGAAAAGTTCTTGAAAACAACAGTAAAGGTGAACCCGTGTAGCTGGAATACTAAGGCAGAACCACATTCCAGCAGCCTGCCTCTGTTTCAGTACTTTGAAAAGGTTACAGATCCCCCCACATCCAGCTCCTAACACCACACCCAGCTCTAGCCTCCGAAGAAATAACTACATACTGTATCCAAGGAACAGCTTTTCTTTAATATTTTTGTATCAGTTGATATTTGGTCAGCTGAAGTCATCTGGTATTGAACTTATATTAGATTTTGTCCTGGTAATCATCACAGCAAATTCAATAACCTTTTAGTCAGAAATATCTAGGCTACGTGAACACAATATTACACTTGTGTCATAAAAAACAGGCACAAACATCACACTTCAGCACACCGTGAGCCTTGTGAAGCCCCAGATCCCCATGCTGGCCATCTTCCTCTACTTGAGTACATACGCCTGTTCCTGCTGAGTGTCCTTTTTACAATGGAAATTACCTGGATTCTCTCCAGGAGAAACACACACCAACTTGTTTTCCATTCAAACAGATTTAAATCCTTTCCATACATGCAGCAAACTTATTTACCAGAAGTCTCTTCTGATTTTAAGGAGACTATTTTCTAAAACTTATAGCAGCACATAGTTGTGAGTAGAAAACACTCTTGGCTTATCAGGGCAACATCTTTTAAAAAGATACTGTCACTGCAATATTGCCACATTCTGGTTTTGATGTCACAGAAAACTTCTTTTAGGGAAGTGAAGAGTCCATTGAAAAAGTGCTCTGTATCAATAATCCCAGAAAAATGAGGATGAACAGTTTAGTCACCATTTGCAGTGCATCATAGTTTTCTTTTACAACACATTTTGTAACATTATTGTCAGCTTGATATCAGCTACTTGTATGCACGTTATTTATCTCAAAGAATGGCTTAGAGGCAAGGTGTTTCATGAAAGGAAATATATATATACAGTTGCACAGTTTTTCAAAGCATCGATCTGGTCCACTTTTCCAGGTAACAACTACATATACATAAACAAGAGCTGAAATCACTTTCAGCTTCAAAATGGAGAGAGGCAGATATGACCGACTAAAATTAAGGGCTGCAATAAGGTTTTGAAGGTCACAACACAGCAAGGATCCCAGCGAGAAACTCCACACAGAAAACAAACACTTTCCAGAGCACTTCTGCAAGCAGAGCCTTGTTTTTCACAGGCATGTTAAACATCTTGTTTTTCCAAATTTAAGCCCTAGAAAATTACTTGCCTGACCCTGTGTTTTATTCCTGAGACTGCAAATCTGAGTTGCACTGGTATTTTATGACAGTCTAAATATATGAACAAAAAGTTTCCCAAGAAAGAAGATACTTTCATTTAACATCTTTAGGACATGTAAAATTCTACGGAGCAGCAAATCTGTGCTGTGTTAGCTGTCACTGAGTGAGAGATGCAGGCGTGACATACTTAGGAAGGGGTCAGACAGGAGACTCAGAGGTAGTTGAAAGAACAAGAGATGTTCTATGATTCAGATTATGCCCTTTCTTATGACTTCCTCACAACTCTTTGTCTCCATTTGCCCTTCATAGGGCAAAATTTACAATCATTTATCTACCAGTGAGCACATATATCTCACCTACCTGCAGCCTACATAATATTTCCTAATAATAAAATACATCCACAAAACTTAAAAAAAAAAAAAAATGCAGAAGTTAGTACTTTATTACTTAACTTGGGGATAAACTCCAGAAAAAGCACGCAAGATTAGGGAAGAACTGATACCAATATTCTGAAAGAGAATCTGGTAATGCCACTAGGATGTTATTGGCTTTTGATTTTGTTTCAGGATCCAAAAAGGCATTCCTCATCTTGAATGAAAGGCATGCCATCCTAAACAATGAATTCTCATTCTAAATTAGAAAAGAAAAAAAGGACCATAATCACTCCTGGTCTGTGAAGGGTTCAAAGCACTTCAGAAAGCTCTCTACAAATTTCCATCCACAAACAAGAAGAGACAAAAAACAGCCAAATAGACCAAACATGAAAGAAGAGATGAACTACAGACATCTCACAAGCCTTGTCTCTGCTACAGGCTGCCAGTATGCCAAAGTTAACATCAGTGGTCCCAGTCATGAGAATATTTTTGGCTGAAGATTGAAACCTGCAGGAGAGCTCAATCCTTTACACTGCACATGAGACACAACTTGGGAAGTACCAGGAGGGAACAGAAGCACTACCAGGAAATGCTTTAGGGTGGTAAATCTGGAGTCAGTGCAGCAATGTACATGAACCATCAGCTGCAGAGGCTTCTTCGTTTATACCCTTTTTCTTCTTTTTTTTGTAGCTTTTAGAAAAATTACATTTCTCCTCCCCTCAGCTCATGCCAAAGAAACCCATGGGCAGTGCAGTAGTACTAGACTCTGTAGTCTTCTGGAATTCATGTATTATTTAAGCTTTAGAAAAACAGAAAATAAGACATATCAAACCTTTCCACAGACAAAATACTACTGTAAGAGATTCTCATTCAAAAAAAACAGAAAGAATCTAATCAAGTAGTCAGGTAATCTGAAGAGATTTGTACTTCTAGAGATATGCTCTCTACTCACTTCTGACAACACCTGCAACTTCTCTGCAATTCCCTGCCTCCAAGAAATTGTCTATCATTACAGGAGTGCCACAGAACTCCAGGTCCCTGAAAACTGGAGTAGATTACTGTAGAACCGTAATCACATCACGGATTTCAGTTTGCATTTTCAGTTTGCATTTTCAAAATGAGTGTTTGCTCAAACATCAGTAAATTCAGTCTTTACCTGACTTTCCTCATGGCCTTTTCCATTTTCTAACTTTGAGACAGGCTTAGGCTTTCTGAGCTTTAAGTTGCCCATGTCAGGCTTCAAAGCCTGCTCCTTGTGCTGCTGAGTATCTTGCAAAGACAGCCACCTTTCTTCTAAGATAGCTGTGTTGTCTGGATAATTTTCTTTGTTATCATCATCTCTGCAAGAGAATTAAAATGAAATCCGTCAGACAGGACTTCAGACACCTGTCAAAACATTATGAAGAACAGCAACAAGAACTTAGCTACTCATGGTGGTTTAATTTTATGAGGCTGTTATTACACACCAAACAAACACTGCATATGTTAGTAAAATGATTACAAGAGGCTACTGTTTATTGAAAATTCACAAGTTAAACTACCATTCATATTATTATCTATTCAGTTCGGGAGACATTTGAATAAGACTCATTTCGGAGGCACTCTTTGCCCTCAGTGCTACATTTCATACTCCCCAAATAAAACCTGAAACTTGTTCATGCATCAGACCCCTCCCTGTCCAGTGCTTCACACTGATTTATAATCCCATATAAATGATGGTATGTAGAGTAATTTCTCCCTACAGTCAGACTTCCCTTCTAACACTTTCTTCCTCATATTTTGAGGGCTTTTTTACAGAAAGCAAGGGAGGTTACACACAAAGTAGGGGAGATGTTTGGGTAAAAGGAATATTTAAAATGTGCTACCAGTTTGCAGAAAGGTCCCCCTTCATAACAGCACATCTACTGGTTTAAATAGACATTGTTCATGGATACTCTGGAAATCACTGAACTTCGCCTACTCTACAGGGTGAAAATCTGCTCTGAAGAAGACCTTGTGTCCTTATCTGCACCCAGCCAACCCAATCTTTGGCAGATTAATGTATTCCATGAGGAGCAACCCTGAAGTGGGACACAAGACTGCCTGTGCAGCTGGCAGGATGAGCAGATGGGCACTACTGCTTTGAAGTCCCCAGCTGCTGCTTAGTTTGTTGGGGGAATCTAGAGGTTAGCTTTAGCTGGTCAAATAAGGGTTAACTGATAAATTAGCTCTTTCCTGGTGTGAAATTAACACAACCAAGGGATTCTAGGGCGGTAACTGAATTAAAATGCCCTTAGTTTTTGGTTTTTCTTAAAGAAATGCTATCTTGCTAATACAACATTTTAACCTAAGGATTCTGAGCTGCCAAACTCGCTTTCCATCTGTGACCCAACAGCATCCAGATGGATGCTTGCAGGGTGTTTACAGACTTAAAACCATTGCTGCCCACGCTTTCTGCAAGTGTCCTCCAAGGCAGTTGTTACAGGGTAGGTTGCTTTATATCCTATGGGCATTCCAACAATGTGAAGTGTTGCTAATTTTAAGGTATTGTCTGATTTAAAGAACATTTCCAAAAGGTTATGTTGCATCCTCTAGCAATTAACAGACGGGCATAGCCATGAGAGACTCATATGTCAAGAATACTTCAGTTAAATTAGCGTGAAGGATTCTTTTTTTCCCCCACAAGAACTCTTCAATGTGTATATCCTTGCACAGTTATACAGCTCCACTTATTATTGCTTTGTATTGGGTGCTGTACAGAAGAATTCACTGTAATAGCATCAGAGCTGCACCTGAATGAAACTAATGTGATTTTAAGTTAAGAAACATAGAACATAATATGTTTAGTTATATAAAAACATTTAATTCTTATACCGTTTATACATAAATACATAAATATCTACTACAAAAATGCACTTCCCACAACTAACAATAGCTGTAGCAGATAATACCTTAGAGATTATGCATTCTCTTGATAATAAAGGTTTCTTTCTAATGATTTAAAAGATGCACTCTGGCAGTTTTACTTGTTGCCAGTGTATTTCAGACAAAATTTGCAGTAGAATACCTGGGGCTGGAACTGGCTGCGTGAGCTCCACAAACAGAATCTGAATCCTCATCACACCTTGGAAATGGATACAAAATAATTGCTGATAAATAATTTCTGCTACTGCAGAAATTTAGCTTTCAATGATCATGACCGTGCAGCTCAAACTAAGCATAAACACATTTCATTTTCTCACACCTTGGCTGGTTTCTTTTCATGCCACAGCTTCTCCACTAATGTAAATCTTTAAGTCTAAATCTCAGAGGAAGAAAAGGATTTGAAATGTTAAGTGTACACAGTTCGGCGTACATTTTTTCAGCCAGCTGAAAGTATCAGTGACAAAGAACTCAAAAGTTACTGGGAAAATTACAAGAAAGTCTGAGTTCTAATTTCTTAAAGCATGCTTCATGTAACACAATAATAATTAGAGACAATTTCTCCCAGACTCACAAAAACGTTAGCAGCAGTAGAGCAGTCATTCCATGTGCTCTGAGCAGCAGGGAAAGGAATCCCCAAATAAACTACAAAATGATAATTAATCTTTAAAAGGGAACTGTGAGAATTTTTTTAAACACATGAAGAATCATAATCAATTCCATCCTATTAGGTAAAAAACAGCGCAATTGCCCTAGGACTGCATAATAAAACAGAATTTCTGGATAAATATGCAAAATACCAGTGATGAACAGTATACAGGGCACTAACTTTAAAGAATTAAACAACTGCAAAGCCAAAAACCAACTTTTCTTCCAATAAATATACATGTATTAATTTGCACACACTCCCAACAAATAAGAACATACCCTCCCCAGTTATTATTTCTGGGGAAAAGTTGGGGCCCTCCCCTCACCCTCAGTTCATACTCACAGGGTGCAGGCACTAAGTAGGCCTGGATCACTGGAAGTCAGCTGGCAGAAGAATCTCTTCATTATAGGAGAAGCAGGCTGTACTTCTGCTGACTTATTAAATTTTTAGAAGAGCTGCCCAGCTTAGGACAGAGCACATTAAGTGATAATTTCATAGCTCTGCATTGCAATTTGATGGCAAGGTTTTTAATATATTCCTCTTCCCCACCAGTCTTCTGCCAGTCTTTATCAAAAGCCTGACTGCTGCAGAAATTATTTAAAGGGACACTCAAGTGTTCACTTCCTGAATAGATCAGCATCTGGATAAAAGTATTTGCTGCATGCAACTGGAATATATACCTACAGTTGCATGTTCCACCTGATCACATAACATTCCTGTAGTGGGTGCAGTTATCCCCTTTCCTCTGGAAGGATGGTGGGCAACTGAACACAGCCAAGTCCTTGTGTGCGTATTTGTGTGAGTACTCCTTAACTTGGACAAGTATGCCAAGGGATCACCTGCTCTCTGCTGGCTGTAATAAGGGTGAGCTGGAGAAGCAGAAAGCCTAAGTAAGCATCTAGTACTGTCATAAATGAAGACAAGTTACAAATAGTCCAACTGAGCATGACAAAATGTATTTGACGAACAAGATACCAGTAGATAGAAAAGATTAGCACTAATGAATCAGAGAAGACAGTGGCCATCATGCAATGAAAAAGATCGTGGGGAAGTTCAGAAGCACTAAATATGAAAGGGTGAATAGAATTTTTTCTATCAGCAAGGATAAATATTAACTGACAAAACTCGCTCACACAAAGACGCTGCTTAAGGCCAAGACTGTAGTAGGACTTTTTAAAAGACGAATTCATGATATAATGAAAATGGTCACCATGAAAGCACAGAGTGTTTTCACCTTGGTTTCATTAAGAAATGCAGCTTATGTGTTCTTGACACCAGTTTGTGCATATGAGCACACATGTTCACGCTCCTCTCCTCTCATTTCTAAACCTCACTGTGCAACTTCAGCTGTATATAACAGCTAAAGGGATATGCAAGAGTTTGATACATTTTTTTTAAAAGCTTGTGGCCATGTGGACTAAATGGAGTTGTCACCAACAGAAAAACTGCAGCAGCATCTTACTCAATCCTGAAACATCAAATCATAAACCAGTAACCAGTACATCTTCAAGGCATAAAGCTACAGGGGTTGAAGTTTACAATGGGCAGGACATTGGCCATTGACATGAAGAGTGGGATCCCGATCTACACGGACTTTGCTCTGTCTCCCTAGCAGTGCCTTTGTATTCCAGAGACTGTTTAGTGGGAATGTCTTTTTAATTTTTTTTTCCATTTTCACCTTTCAATAGCAACCATTTCAGTACAGCTGGAAAACTGCTTCCTTTTGCAAACTTGACCTTTACGATGTTCATGTGAACAATTTCTCCACCAGGCTGCACGCATGGCTTGCTGGGAACACAGCAGCCCCAGGCACTTGCCTTATCTGGAGATATGTTCCTGAAAGTATTGTTTCACTGGTTTTATATCATCCAGCCTTTACCACAAGCAAAGACAGAAAAAGTCAAATATGAATGCCTACTGTTGCATGGCAAGATCCCTCTTTATTCTGCTAAATAGAAGAAATCTATTTTCAGATATGTCACAGCACAAACAATGAGTGTTGAAGTCTGTAAGAATTTTGTGTTCTCAGCAGTTCTCAAAAACAGGCTTTGGGGGCAGGCTTTAAACAGGATCTAGGGAAATCAACTTTGGAAACCAAGTTGGACAGTGCGTTTTGAATGATGTTGTCTGCCTGCTTTGTTTTCTAAAAGCATGTTTCTACTTCTATATTTGGTAAGATAAGATTAGGAATTAAAGGCTCTGGAACAAAACCAACAACAGCTTAAATGAGGAGATTCAGCCTTCAGACAACAGTCCAGCTCTTCCACGCTGCTGCCTCTCTGCTTCACACAGCACTGCCTGCATCCCTCTCCCCTCCCTTTCCCCAGCGATGCCACACACTCAGCCTTTCTGCCCTTGTCTTAATGATCACACAAAGCTCCAGTGAGCAAAACCATCACATTCATGTCCCAGAAAACCTCAAGGGTGAGGCAGGCAGCACCAGGCCATGCCAGGGGAATCTCTGTGGGAAACACAGGTGGATGTCAGGGGACAGTGCAAAGGAAAGAAGACATATATATATGTGTTATATATATATATATACATATATATATACTATCTGAAATCTGGATATTCTTTTATGAATTTTACATACCACAGTTCACCACTTAAATAACAGGGACATGCGGCAACAATTCAAAATGATTTTGTGATTTATTATCTTCCATTAAATCTTCCCATATTTAACACAATCACACAGAAAGAGCAAGTGATGTAAAATATCAAATAAAGCAAGGCAAAGAATATAGGAGAGAAAAAATTATTTAGACCTCCTCAATAAACATTTCTTACCTTTTCCTTTAGTGATTTTGACAAAACTGAGTGATAGCTCAAACTAAATTACAGCTTGGCCCGCTTTTAGAATGCATTCCCATGACACTTAAGCAAACAGATCACAGTCCAGCTAGGTTTTTTTAAATTATGGGCATTTTAGCAGGGTAAAACTCATCTAATATACAAACAGATCTATAAATCACTTCCTTCCTAAGATACTGCTTGGTACATTACTGCTAAAGAGTCTTCCCTAAAAGCTTTTGAAACAATCAAAAGCATGCAGAATAACACAGAGAATATCTAAATTGCAGTGTTTTAAACTGGAATTTAAAAAGACCATTTCATTTGTCATCCTCCCTAAAGACTTTGTCTTTGTAACTTTCTAATGTCCTCACCCTCTTCTGTTGTCTCTTTATAACAACAACAAAATCAATGCATATATCCTTATGATCACAATGAAGATGAAAACCTTTTCAATGATTTTGTGGAAATAATTACAAAGGAACAATGTTTTTGGTCTGCCTAATGATGCTTTTGTGTTTGTTGTCTTTTTTTTTTTTTTTTTTCCAAAATGTTTTTAAAGAATTGTTTTTCCTACTAACACATGCAGGAAATACAGAGCATGCGTTCTGACACACTTGTGTTTGTCAAGATCATCAGTACCAGAAATGAGCAATAAATTCACAGGAGATTTATCCTACACTGAAATCATGCATTTAAACATTTGTGATGTACATCAAATTTATATCCACCCAGAAAAGTGCTTTATTTCTAAATGGTCTCACAAAATCTAAAGGCAGCTGTTTTATGCAATTTTTTTCAGAGTCTCAATAATATACTTAGATTAAGAAAAACCTGAATCAAAATATGTGAGAGAAAGCTGGGGACCTCTCACACAATACTTACAATTATTTTCTACCACTCTTATTTAAAAATAAGGCACATCTTTAAAGTGTTGACTTACTCTGCTAAAGCTGTGGTGTTGAAGGATTTATCCTCAATGCTGAAACAGAAACAAGAAAACATCAGACAAGTCAGCAAGGCAGGCAGGCTCCCTGTTCCCTTCTTAGTTGTAGAAACACATGCACAAACATGGCATTGCAAGGCAAGTCTGTGTGTCTGTTAGCTCTACATGCGCGACTGTACCTTCGGCTGCTCTGCACATGCTCATAATCAAGGAACCACAGGGATTAGCCCTACAACACTTACAAAGCCCATCCAGCAGTGGTTTGAATAAATATGAGGATGCAGGTAGTCTGTGAGGCTCAGGAAAGGATCATATTCTGTTACAGCAGTAACGCTGCTGCTAATGAAAGGTTTACAAAGAAGTATTTGGCATTCTGTTCTTTAAACAATTGCAATTGGCTAATCGAACACAGTGTTATTTTTATTTACTCAAACAAGATTGTTAAAATATCTGGAGGTTTTTTTCTTCTCATTTGGAAGTCTTTTATAAACTCAGCTCATAGTCAGACCCCAGGGGAAGCAATGAAAAAATAATCTGGGAGAAAGGGCAGTTCAAGTAGCAAAAGGTTATTAAGCAAGCAGCAAGGAATAGATGAAACCATTTCTAAGAAAGGAATAGGCTGCTGCCCTCCTGCAGCAAAATTTTTCAGACTTGATGTAATATGTTCAGGAAGGGTCAGCTCAGGATACAGCAAACGACTGGTTTTGAGACAGCGGTGGAATTCCCCCTTAAACAACACCTCTCAAATCCAGTCAGAAGGGTTGGAACATTCTGAAATCTTAGCAGCAGAAAACAAACAAAATCCATTCTCACTGAGACATATTAGAGCTGGGAGGAGGAGGATGCAGACAACAGCATCTTATGAGCTCTCCTGTTTGTGACAACGGCAGCACACAGCCCCCAGCAGCACGTGGAGCAGGGACACAGAGAAGTGCAGCATCCTGTCCCCACAGCAGCTCACATCACAGCAGCAGCAGCAGCAGCCAGGACCACAGAACTGACAATTTCCCTTCTCCCCCAAACAATGCTGGCAGTGTGCCTTATCTTCATCTCTTCCCATCCTCTCTACCTGCTTGCGCACTGTGTTTGCTCTTTTCTATATTTGTATGTATAGCAATTTATTTCATGGCATAAATTATCTGGGGATCAGTTTGTAGGGACTTCTGCCATACAAAGAAACAGGCTTTGTGAGACGAGGTGAATAGAAAAAATGAAGGAGGAATCACAGCTTTTAATCACAACATCACATTAACAAGCATCACAGATTGATTAGGGTAGATCTTAAAGGGACACTACGTATTTATTCCTATTCCCCTTCCTACACACATACAAGGAGATCTTGTGAACATAACTTCTCCATTTCTTAGTGTTAAGGTCAAATTCTCTGCCAATTCACCCCCTGTGCAAACACACTGCAGTGCCTTGTTACTACCAGTAACAGAACTTGACTGAAGACCAGTTTGTAAAACAGAGATGCTTCAAACTGAAACCAAGTTTAAAATGTCATCTCTTACATTGTTTGTACGAACTTCAGTGCTGTACAGCTGTTACTAAATCTCTTCTAGGCATGCTCTTCACATTTATTTCAGGTGCCTCACAAACCTCCATTTATTTTAGAGATGATGCTCTATCAGTATTATGGATAGTCTTTTCCTCCAAGGATGTGAAATCATTCGGACAAAAGAACAACACAACAAAGCCAAGCCAACTCAACAGTTTCACATAAAACAGAATGACATCAATAAATACATGAAAACAGAGGCCAGCTAAAACTAGGGTCCTGTTTCAGAGCTAATTTTCCCATCAGATAGATGAAGCCAACCTTCCGCTGGGGGAACCCGAGGGAGAGAGTTACGGTAGACTCATAATATCTCTACATCCTTTCTTTTACTCCCAGAAGGAAGGAATTCCTCTTAAAAGGGAAAAACATCTTTCACAGATGATGTTGACTAGGGCCTATGGCTACTCCCAGTCCTTTCACATGTTTCCCGTGGTCTCCGGGTGAGGCTATACTCTATAATGAGCCAGCACCAAACATGCTTGAGCTTGTCTTTTCCCTCTGTGCTCCAAGTGCAAATATATAGAGGCAAAGCACAATATGGCTGTTACCTCCTCGTTTTCAGCAGTCAAGTTAAAGTCAGTGAGGCCTGAAATGCTATAAAAAGCCATTCTTCAACATACTGTGCCAGATATATTTTGTCAGCACTTTCAGATGATGTTTCAGTTTTCTCATCATCCTGAAATCCTGAGGAAAATAATTATGCACCTGTATGTAAAGTAAGATATACTTCAGTAAAGTAAGGTATACATTTAATTATTTTACATTTTGAAGTAATTAAAATACAACTTTTTATCCTTAAAATAAAGGCTTTTAATATCAGTTTCTCCTCTTTTTTTTTTTAAAGGTTGAGTAGTTTAAAGATTCGTATTTTTCCTATTCTGTATTTTTGGAAAAACAATTCCTTTTTTAAAAGTACATAGTTTTGTTTCACCATCTCATATGCCAGCTCTCAGCTGATAATAAGAATGCTAGAAAACTCCAAACTAAAAATTCTCCGTATATTTTGGAGATATCAGGATTCCAAGAATTACTGCTAGCTCAGGAAGAAGACTGAGATGGAAATCACTTGGTCTCCAGCTCAGTTTTGCATGCAATAAAGGCATGCTCAGTACAAATGATACATTCATAAGCTCAGAACAGATTAGTTGGCATTGTAAACATGTATCAGCCAATGAATTCTATATAAAGTTGGTATGGTCTAGTTGCAAAGACTATAAAAGAAGAGAGAGGTAGTGAGACCATTTGAATGTGATCACATAGGTAGAGGCCACACTGTAATTTGAAAACTTGAAAAAGCAGTTATATCTTCAGGTGAACAGAATGGAGAACAGTCAAGACCAAAAGGCCAGACAAGGAGGAGACATGGTGAAACTTGTTAGTCTGCAGTTGCCTAAATGCTCACCTACCTGCAGACTTTGTGGCAGCTTGGTTTCACCTGTGCAGCAGAATCTTAGCCACAATTTCTAGACTTCGCTCATCTGAGTAAACGACCATTTTCCTGAGCTTTCTGACACAAGTAAACGATGAGGCCTTTCAACCTTAAGCACTGAATCATGAAGAATTTGTGCTGGGAACTAACCTGAATGTTTAGAGGGGAAATTACTATTTTACAAAGAATTCTAACTTCTCTAAGGTTCTGGGAAGTTAGTACATTTGTATTTAACATATACCATCAGCTCATGATAAATTCAGTGCAATCCTATAGAGTAAGTATAGCATTTATTATGAGACTGATTATTACTTTATTTGCTATTCCACACTGTTCAAAGCGGTTGTGCTGAAATGGCTGCACCAGAGACAACTGTGTTTCACACTATGGTTATGCCATACGAGGGAGCTGCACTAGATGGTGCAGTGGAGGGACACGAGAGACGCAGTGTGACATGCTGCGCATGGCAGGGAGGCCGCATTGGCTCCCTCCTGTCTGGGAAGACATTACTCATGTTCCATTTCCCAAATAAAGGGAAAGTTGGAACGAGCTCTCCCCTACTGCCTCTCTGGATTAAGTCATCTCTGCCAGAACCAGCTGAGCTCAGAGACTCATAAAAATATTGAGCAAATTTGTTTGCCTTCGAGTACGTGTGTTCTTGCCAAGTAGCAATGCCCTGAAGTGCTCCTACGGTCCATTATCTCTCTCAAATTGTAGATGAATGCAGATGCACTCAATCCTACCTGTGCACATATATAGCATATTCTCTTATAGACGAAATACATTCAAACCCACCAAAAGCAGATTAAATACCTTTGCATGTCAGGTTGCACTCCTGCTTCTGTGGTCAACGGAACACTTTTATTTAAGCAGAAAACAAAGAGATGGACTCTGCAGTCACTCCTCTCTCCACCTTCATCAAGTCTGTTCTCTTCTAATGCACCGGATTTTTATGGGCTACGAGCAAGGGTCATTCTGAAGCACAATGTTAGCACTGTGGATCATTTCAGTGTGTTGTCCTCTCTTCAAAAGGGTTCCTGCAGGATACTTCTGCTATTCTCTGATCATGAAGGCATAAACAGAGGAACTGTTAACTGAGGGACAAGTCACATTCTCCTTTTTTGTAGTGAGAAATACCAAATGCTGCACCCAAGCAGCTCAAAATATTCAAGTGTTCTATGACTTGTTTGCCTGACATGCAGACTGCCTTTTTATGGGTAACATTCTCAGAGATATCAAAAACTGCTTAAGACAAATTAAGCTAAAAAACTACAATTACATGCAGGAGCCGATTTGTGAACACTCAATCCAGTTCTTTGTATCCTTGATTTTCTCAGTGACCTAATTAGCACATCATCTGAGTTAATGGACCTGGAGGAAAAAGAGGCATTCAGCTGATCCTGCTGTATATCTCAAAATGCACAGACATGCTCACGCAGGAAGAGACTCCAGCTGAGCATGGGTGCAGGCACAGCTGTTGTAATCCATTCCAGGGCAATTCTCTAAGGTACGTTGTACTGGAGAAAGTTTTGGGTAATTGCACAGACATTCAGGGCATATTTGCTGAAGACATGTTAGTGAGCAATTAAGCTGCACAGTACTTCCTTACTCAAGCCTCCTCAGCAGCGTGCACATAAATTCCTTTCATACTCCCACAGTACATCCAGGTTTGTACTGAGGGAGGTATGTCTACACTTGTCCAAAAGGCACAGCCACACGCCAATCCAAAACCCTGGTTTTAAAGGAAAAATATAATGGAAATGCACAATTTTGTGCAGACTGGAAATTCCAACTTGTGAGCCACTCAGTCCCATTAGATTCCACTGCTCAAGTGCATACACCTGCTGTGCTACTCGTGCTCTGGCCAGTTAGCAAAAGCAAATATCACACAGATCTGTAGACTAGATTAATTGTGCTACTTTATTGTATTTCGGAAACACAGAACTGCACCTTAAATCTCATTATTAAAGAACAAATCTCATTATTAAAGAACAAAGAAAAATGTCTTTGTGAAGTCCATTCTGCTCTGCAAGCAATCTCTGTAAAGAAGAATCCCAAGAAACATTTCCCAGCATGCACTAAGCTGCCTGATAAACTCAGCTGTACCATTCAAATTGATGCTAGTGACTGAGCCACTGAAGACACTGTAGTTATCCACTGCAGGTATTTGGTACTGCCTCAGAAGGTAGAACAATTGCCAGCAAGATTACACACAAAAAAAAATCAGGCTAGTCTCAAAAAAGAACTAATTCAGAATGAGGTTTTTTTTCTGAGCATTGCAAGAGGGGAGAAAAATACACACACACCTAGTTCTGATGAGGCGTCCAGAACGCTTCAACAGATCTCTTAACCTAAAAAATAAACATTTTATTTAATAAGCTTTGATCTTTAGCACCACTGACTTAAGAAAACATCAGGTTTGCATGAATGACTTTTTTGAAGGAACTTCTCTTCCAGACGTGTTCCAAGCTCACCATGTTCCTTCTGCTTTGTGATAGCTGGGCTGAGCTGGGCTTGTTCAGCCTGCAGAAAAGAAGGATGCAGGGTGACCTCACTGCAACCTTTCGGAACCTAAAGGGAGCCTACTAACAGTGGGAGGGGAATCAACTCTTTGAAAGGGTAGATAACTGCAGGACAAGGGGAAATGGTTTTAAGTTGAGGGAGGGAAGATTGAGGTTGGATGTCAGGGGGAAGTTCCTTACAGAGAGAGTGGGAAGGTGCTGGAACAGGCTGCCCAGGGAGGTTGTGGATGCCCCGTCCCTGGGGGTGTTCAAGGCCAGGTTGGATGGGGCCCTAGGTAGCCTGGTCTAGCATTAAATGGGGAGGTTGGTGGCCCTGCATGTGGCAGGGGGGTTGGAGATTCGTGATCATTGAGGTCCCTTCCAACCCTGGCCATTCTGTGATTCTGTGACAGTGATAGTAGGAAGAAACAAGAGGCAAGTACAGGCAAAGATGCTGTACAAGATAATACTTCCCTGGAGTGGTGCATGTGGGAAGAACGCGTTTAGATAACAGTAGGAAATGTGTTCCTGCTGTTTTGTTTTGGTGGATGTAGCTTTTTTAAACACTGTTCCCTCTTTGTTATTCTAGCTATCTAACAGTACAGGAGAACTGTAGGGTCACACTTCCTTCTCTGCACTCCATATTGTTATGTTAGAGACCTACAAACAGGATGGAAAACATTAACAGTATTAATTAGTATTACATACAGTAAAGTTATTAAGAGAAGCATCTCATGAACATCAGTAACAAGAAAAAACAGTACTAGGGATGTTCCATAGTTTGCGTTGTATGGAGCCACACGATCAGTTTGGCTCAAGTTAAGCCCAGACATGAAAAAGATACACAGTGTTTGCATGAAGATGCCCTTATAACTCTTGGCTTCTTCTTCAAGGGATGACTCTTAGCATCTAGAACAAGGCTGACTCTACTGGGCAATCTGCTTACTTTCTGAAAGGAAAAAATAAGCAAGAAAGCATGCACATACTTTTAGTCAGAATTCCCTATGCAGAACTCCGCCTCACCACCTGGGAATCCAATTGTGTAACCTGCATGCATGCAAATAAACATGCATGCATGTACAAACGTGTTTCAGTTATTCTTTCATACTTGTCTCAACATACAAACTTGAAAGATTTCAATACTTGCTCTTTTTCTTACAGTAACTTCCTTACTCATGTAACTAACACAGCAGTACACACCACACTGGTTCTCCTGCAGCTTTATTCTTTAAATGTTTCAGAATGATACAAAATGAAATCTAAACCAATTTAGAAATCACGTAACAAAACTGGCTTACAACGCTGCTTGATGTCAGTTTATTCTCTGTGACATATAGGCAACACCACTTCAATTAGCATTATCAAAGAGCTCCATTATCAGTAATTATGTGCTTTCATCATGCAGCTGGCCTTCTCCTCTAGCACGCACTGAGCAATACATGATGACTGCTGATTAGTCCTAGTGATGTCTGGGGGACAGTTCAGGTAACACTGAAGGCAGATTCATACACCAAACCCCTTATAGGTCCCATTTTCCAGTTCACAAAGCACAGTGTGCTTTCCTACCCCTCTGATTACAACAGCAAGAGGCTGCTCTCAGAGGGCCAGGCAGGTGTACCAGCGGTCCACACAGAGCTATGCTGGTTTATGCCACCTGAGGAGGCTGCACAGGTATTTATAGCCTAGCAGGTCCAATCCCTTGGACGTGATGTGCCTGAACACTTTCTGGGAATAAAGCCAGACAGGCTCCTCGAGTCTTAGAATAATTATTTTTCATAGCTTACTTCCTACTTTCTGCTAAGCTTTTTTTTTTTTTTTTTTTTTTTTTT